CTCCCCGTACTTTGACGTCACTTGGAGGAAATCTCTCTCTGGCAAAGGAGTGGCAAACATAAAGGTCTGATCTGATACATGCGGTCGGCAATGCAAGAGGATGGAGACATTTCATGATCCAGAGATGGCAAGAGTAACTGGATGAACCTATCTCCTCTCTCGGACGCAGAGAATTTGTTGTGGCCCGAATAAGAAGAGATATTTGGTTGCTGTTCCTAACGCAGTGGTAACGCAGTGGTAACGCAGTGACGTCCATGTCGTGTAGTGGGGGATATTCAAAACAACTGATGTAGGCCAAGATACATGTCGCCCCAAGAATGAATCGAAATACGAACATGCTGTTCAGTATGAGGCTGACGATGCACAGGACAAGCGAACAGATACTGTATCGAGGTTTGTACAGTACCAGTAGGGCGTGGGTAGAGAGGAGCTCCTGAATCAAACATCCTCTCGTCTCTCGCACCTTGATAGCTAACAGTATAGAAAACAGTTTTTGTGACTCAGGAGAAGGAAAAGGTATTTCTGACATTGAAACTGAGTGATGTCTGTTCTCACCATCCCTCGAACCTCGATACAGAGAAAAAGATGGTGTGAAAACATATCGACGGCGCAATAGACTCCAAGAAGAGTGTACGAGTAGAGAATGAGACAACCGTCCCACCCGCTGGACCCCTAAAATGCAGGAGGTTGATCAGGGTCCTTACAGATCGATGGGGATTCAACGTCAAGATCGTGAAATAAGAACCATTGTTTCCCCATAACTCCATGCTGAATGGAGTTGAATGATTCAGAATCCAAGAATTGGAATCTTCTCGCTGAGCCTCTGCGTCGGAAAGTGGAAGATCAGGGTCCTCTCAAGAAAAACCAAGGCAAGCAATTAATAGTCAGTGCGAGAGCGCAGAGGAAAGACGCACTGACTATTACGCACCAAGTTAACGGTAAAATAGAATATACGGCATGCAGATGGGATCTTCCCTCCACCCTCTCCCCCGCATTTAACCTTTCGGAAATTCATTACAGGAACGCATTTAGACTTTTCCATAACGGTCTGAAGTGAACACTGGTCTGTGAGGAGGAAGCAGGGGATAGCCTAGACGAAGCTTTTATATATAGAGAGGAGGGTGCTAAGGAGAGTTTTCATGTCGACGCTCACACTCTTTTCGAACTCTCTCTCCTCTTATTTCTCTCGCGAAGTCTATCTCTGCGGCACTGGTGCAGGATGAGGTCAGGGACACTGAAAGGTTCGTCGTATGGTACGGAGGCTGAAGTTTAAGAGATTATGACGAGGAGGAGGCTGGACCAGGTCCACTGTGGTCTGGTCTTTTCGACTTGAAAGTTATTTTTCTTGAAGGGGACTGAAGATGAATCTCTGCTGATCCGCGGCGTCACAGTCCGATCTCAGCAACAGAAACGAAACGCGGAAACAAGAACAAGAGGAAGAAAGAAACCCATATTCCGTATGACGATGGCCAGCATAACAGAAAACCAACAGCAAAGGGGACCAAACATCTGAATTATCAACAGCTCAATAGTAATAACAATGGCCTAACTTCTGGCCTAACTTGTAATTCTGGACGTTTCAAAGAAATAGGGTTATCCAACCGACCGCCACCACTCATCTTAAGCTCTTCCAAGCAGCCACCCAACGAAGTGGTCGAGCGGTTAGACGGCACCTTTACTTTGGGTCCGCATGAAATTCGAGGATTTACTCGTACGGTAAGAAGGCCGACCTGCGGAAGAATGATGACGAACGTCAAACTCGAAACATTGCGTAGCCGCCGACGTGTTGGTAGTGAGATGTGCTGGGTTGAATGATTCGGCTATCTATTCGTAGAATTGCACCCCTTCCCCTTCCATTTCAAGGGGTCGGTTGGATTGATTCATCACCTTTGTTTCTGTGACTCGGGTTTAGTTTCTGCTGCCAATAGGGGCCAGACTCGTCCCCTTTAATTCCAATCACGTGACCAAGACTCTACCCCAAACCTACGTCTCGAAGCACGAAGTAGAATCTGAAACCCCAAGCTTTGGAAATTACCCCTGGCTAGCCCCTGGAACAGCGGCTATTCGAGAACCAATGAGAGATTCCTTGTTGCTCCCCGCATTTCTCCATGGAATCATTCGCTGGGAGCCGCTAAATGTTTCCAGAAAAATGTTTCTTTGACGTGCCGAGTACAGAGTTACAGTGCGGAAGCAACCCCTACTGTCGATGCTGCTATTTCGAGTCTTTCTTTGCACATCCTTCCTAATCTTTCCCGAAACGGCCTTCAGAAGTCCGCTCTATTCGATGTAAACGAAATGAATCCGTGTACTACACACCGGACCCCCGAAGAGATGACAGAAATTCAAATTGCATCCCAGAGGAGTTGCTCCTGCAGAAGTGCGGAAGCGAACTTTACAAGTAATTTTATACTGAGGTATACTGTATGCTTGGAGTATGGAACAGTGGTGTCTCGGGCTATGAACTGGAGGCTCCTAAATTACGTCCTTCTCATGCGTAATTTACCTAGAACATTACAGGAAGCGGAACCCGTACAGTAGAAAGCTGTTCGGTACTCGTAAACTTCTGCTACTACACCTTGGCATACTTGTCAACGTCGATTTACTACGGCACTATAACCTTTCAGATGTTTGATACTGTAATTGAGCTTTGCTAACGTGTTAGCCTATGTTCCCCGCTAAGAAGTAATAGACTATCATTGGCCGCCGGATATCAGTTGGCACAAACTGTTGCGAGGCTCGCGTCTTATCAATGCAAATGTCAGATAGTTCTTGGTAAGAAAGAGGGTACAACAGCTGCAAGTTACCGTACCAAATACAATACCATTTTTTCGCCTACCGTCCACCACCCCCCGGATCCCCTGTGCTAGAAGTAGATTTTCCTGTACAGTAGTACAATACCGTACCGAGTCCCGACTGCGCCTAGTGTTAGCTACATCTTTGACAGCTGCGGCTTTTTCGTTTAAGCGAAGCCTTACGGTCGGGTCGGGTGTGGTGAACGGCCTATACCATCCGTGTACTACACACCAACATCCCTTCTCTACAGCCCCAAGAAATCAAACTTCATCCAGGAGGAGCTTTTAATCTCTTCCTACAATATGAGTTTTCCGATGTTTGACATGCCACCTTGTTGCTACACTGTAGCTGTGTAAGCCCAAATTTTACCCTCCAAGGACCGTCATAGAGCTCTGAGCCGTGTTGTTCGACCTAACCCTCTACCTAATGCCCTCAGACGTTTTGCTCCGTTCTCTCCAACGGGCACTTTCTCCAGCCGTTGTTATCCGGCCATTCCCATATTCCCATAACATAAAGTGTTGCGAGAATGTTATAGATGCTCATAAAGCGTCATACTCTGATACTGTACAGCAGTTCAGAATACGGCTCGGCGCCGACTTTTCAGCGAAACCGTCGAATTAGAGTCGCGGTCCGTAAATATATACTTTTTTACATACGATTTTGCGTAGATGGTGTGACTCTGAGCTGTCCTCATCAATGCCATCCGCCGACTTCAATCCACTACGTGTGTGACTACGTGGTTACCACGAGGCCACTGAGTCCTCCAGCTCACAATAAAACACCACAACGCATTGACATCAAGCTTAATTAGCTTCTGGAGAGTTTGATGGAATTTATTCCGTACCTATTTTCACCAGTTTTATTGGCTCTCTCGTTAAACCCAATGTAGTAGTGCGTGTCTTGTAGAAGTAAGATTACTGAAATCGGTTGGATGATTCCGTACATGAGGAGGTTCCGTAGTGAGAGAGCACGACAGCCGCTTCGATAATGCATGCCCAATTGATGTCACCGTTTTCCGTCCAACTTGCATCGTCTCGTTCCTATGACCCGGTAGTGAGACTGCGCCTAGGCTTAGCTACATCTTGGATACATGACATCTGACAGCACCTGTACAGGAGTTTTTCTTCCCCCCGCCTTTCCCTCCCCAGCGTTTCCCGGAAGCGAAGCTTGATGCGGGCATCTGAGGTTGAAGGTCTGGAGACTGGACTGGAATGGATCCGTACTTCCCCACCATACAGGTTACGAGTTACGAGTGTACGGGATTGGAACTCGTACACAACTTCAGCAGCAGCAGCCCAGCTCAGCCATGTCATCTATCATCTAACCAAACGGTAATGGTAGGTAGCTTAGTGGCTAACGATAGATACACTAAATACCATCTACAGTACCTTACGATCGCAGCTCTTGCCCGATCGGGCGGGTGGCACTTTATAAAAGAAGCCCAAACGTGTTTTGCAACCGCGACTACTAAATAGGCGTATGAGACAGTAGTTCGCACGGCAAGAGCGCTGAACGCCACACCCGCTGTGCTTATGCCTGTGTCTTTCCGTATCTATCTTTCTGTCCTTTTCGATGAAATTTGATGGATGCAAGGGGGGAAACCTTCATTTCGAGGTGCAGTCGTAGTTGCAGTTAGTTGCGTTGCAGTTGCAGTCTCAATCTCTCAACCCACAGCCAAACGCGATTGTCTCCTCACTTGGCCTCATACTCGATCCAGTAGCTGGTGGTAGTATGTACAGCTCGCACAGGATGGGATGGCCTTGTGGTTGTCCTCGGTAGAGAAGGAGGCCTAGGCCTAAGCCTAAGCCACGCTTGGCCGACCGTTCCTCCTTAATTCCGCCACACATCGTTCTTGGGGAAGTTGAGAAGAGCCTTTTGGTTTGCACCTGCGGTGAAGCGGAATCTGGGTAGGATGAAAAGCTTCTGCACCTGTACGGAGTAGATTGCCTTTGCCGGCATCACAGTAAGGTTGACGAACTTAAGGCAATGAGGAAAGTTACGGTAAATTGGACGTGTTGTGGCAGCCGCGTTGGCCGGACACTACGGGCACATTTCATACAGTAGGTACCTACTGTACCTACCGTATGAAGTTATGGAAAGCGGGCAAGCTCATCAATAATGCATAATGTACTCAACGCAGGGCAAGCCCTCGAAGCGGCTGGCGCATCACCTGGCCCGCGACTGGACAGCAGGCAGTAACAAGTCACCAGCTAGTGACAGCCAGCGGCAGCTAGTGGTAGCTACACGCAGCCTAGCAGCCTAGCAGCCTAGCCCATCATGCTCTCTACTGTGTACTGTAGTTCCTCCCGCCCCTTCCGTTCCAACCGCATTTGACGGTCTGACCTCGACTTTGGAGCATTGCATTGCATTGAAGCAGAAGCACTAAGCCCTGTGGCCACTGCTGCCACCACACAAAAGCACCACCATGACCATCGCCAGCAACGCTTCTGATGACCATCCACGATTCCTCCCTAATCCTGAACTTTCGTGTGTACGCTGTACTGTGTGCCGTACTTCCGTGTGGGACGTTGTTAGACGTTTACATTAACACCATCAACACCATCTACACCATCAACACCATCATCCGCATCACCAGCTCCACCCCACACCTACACGGCACATCAACTGACCAGAGCGTCTCTGATCAAACACCCAACCCACTCAATTCATCACTTCGCCCTCGGCCGGCTCCATAGTCGAGCATCACCACCGCCAACGCGACGGAGATTTAAATGATACAACGCTTCTTCTTTTTCCCACTCCTTTTCTCTTTCTTGCGTTCGTTTCTGTGAAATCCAACCAACCAACAACCAAACTCGACACCTTTGGCGAATTGAACTGTCGGTCCCTTCTAGCTTCGGCCAAAGAGAGCTCGCTCCCTTTGCCCTTGAAATTTTCTCAGGATACTACGGTAGTGGGTCATGAACCATCGCCACCACGCAGCCTTTCCTCGCAACTACATCGGCATCGTTATTATGCTGTGACAAATCCAAGGAATTTTCATCTACAAGATCTCTTCTCACACGGCTTGAATACCACAATTTCAAAAAAATCCATTCTATTCTTCTACGCGCTCATCAAGGAAGCGATTCATGTTCCTCTCCCTCCCATAGGGTTACAGTTACCTCAGAACCTCAGCGCGTCCGGACCAAGCCTCATCCTAGACTCAGCCTACATCTATTCTCACTCATCCCAACCATTTCAGATCTCGGTCAATCAATTCTTACTCTTTATAATTACTCTTTCTAGTCAGAGTCTCGGCCAAGGGTAACTTCCGCGACTTTACACCAGGAAACACCATCGGCCACTATCACGGAATTGACTTCTCGGCCCGCTTCATCAGTTGCCGAAGAAGAATCTAGCCTTCATCAACCCATCAAAAACCATCGCCGACCTACCTCTCATCACAGGCAGCTCCCCGAATACAAACTCAGCAAGATGGATACCGCTCTCATTACTTTCATGGTGTATGTTGTCCCCTTTTTCTTAGCTGTGTCTATATCTCAAGCAAGACGTTTTTTTATACCTCAAACTGCCTCGTCTGTTTATAAATCTCTAGTTTGGTTTCGCTTTGTTTCGTTGCGTTTTGTTTCCAAAAGCACTGAAATGATGGTCCTTTCATTCTCCCCATTGGAATCTGGTCGATGTTTGAAAACGACTTCAACTAAAAACCACGGGACGTTGAGAATAAATTCAAACATCTCGGCGTTTGTTTCCTCTATGGCGGATTGATGGCGAATTGCTTCGATGATCCTCGTCAAAGGTTGGCTGAAGTATTTTCAACGGACCGGATTGTCGGAGAATAATTGCGCTTTGCTGTGTGTTTCCTTCAACGGATGCCGATACCTACCGTTGTGGGCGCGTGATGGATACCGTGTAATCCGTACGTCCACGATATTCATTACCCTTTTCGTCGAGCTGTCTCTGGAGTCAAGTCATGAACTCTGGGGAATCTCCCCGATCTTGGCGTTACATCACGAAGATTGTACTTCTGCCTCAGGACTGCCTCGACAAAAGCTTTACTAGGCGTGGGCATCGTCAGCTTAGGATGAGGATGCAGTTGCATACGGTGGCTCTCTATCTTGGCGACACCGCATCATGTCATCGGGATCGATGGCTCATCGCATCTTTCGCATCGACACCTCCCCCATGTTCCACATGTCCACGTCCTGCCCCGGCCTGCCTCCCGGAGGTTTATTTTTGTCTGGCCCCCGAATCCACGAATCTGGCTCATCCCCGATGCAACCGTCAGTTTAAGCGCGGTGCAACTCTACCTGCTTTAGCACCTTCCCTGCCCTTGCAAAGTTGTTTCGCGGGTTTTTCTCTAATTAACGGGTCTTCTGTTTCATGTGTGCATCCCGCTGACGCAGTGCAGGCAAACATCCCCATACACCCAATCCGTACATTTGATTGGCTCGTGGGATAATTTCTCGAAACATTACACCATGGAACATGATACTAAGCGCGCTCGTGGCCAATGGCGCGGTTGCTACGCCTTTACCGATATCATCTGCGATGGTGATGGCGCCAATGGATCAAAGCGGACCGGTGGTTTGAAAATGGGCGCAACTTACTATTACTACGTATATCATCCCTGCGCTTGAAGCTTAAACCAGAACAACACTCTGATCATATATAGTACGAGCTGGACAACGGCACTGAAGTTCATGATCCATCAGTTCCCTTCACAACCTCCTGTCCATACCTGCCCGGTCAACCAGTCAACCTCCTTCAAGTTCCCGTCGAGGTTCAACCTATTCGCCTTCGCAGTGCCTCCGTAAATTCATTATCAGCCATAGAAATAATGACGATGAACCCGGCCGACAAATTTGTGGCTCCTCGCCCTCCACCACCACCTCCAACCACAACAAGAACATCCAAAACTTCACCAAGCCAGGTCTCACCAAAGAGACCTGCGCGATCAGTCTCACCCAGGTCTGATAGGTCAATACGAACATTCTTTGGTCTTCGATTACCACAAGAGTCCACTCACCGTGGGCGGTCTGTTTCGCTAGGCAGGACAGTGGGGGAGAAATACAACAGTCGCAGTTCTTCGCCCAGACAAAACACTTCAGTACCACACTCGCGAAATGCTTCGCCCCAATCATTGGGTGTTCGCAGGCATACGAACCCCCAAGAGAGGATTCCAATCGTATCTCAATCATCATCTCGCCACACTGGTCTGTTTACCATGGATGCACTTGATATACCAGACGAGATTGTAGAGGAAGGAGAGGAGGATGACGATAACTTTGCAGGTCAACTTAGCCCTCACAGCTCATACGAGGGTGATGTCTTCACGCACTTGTCACCTCCACCAACTCCACTTCGTTCTCCAACCCCCAGGCGTGCTAAAACTAGCACATCCAAGCCATTACCTGGGTTGCCAGAAAGCTGCTTAGTTCCTCAACCACTTCGACTTCGGGCCTTTGCATTCGAGGCAAACCTACCAAAGTCACACTTCTCTACATCAACCGAAGCTTCCTTCAACATGCCACGCTCCCACTTCTCTACTTCCACTGTCTCTAGCACAAGCCTCGAAGCTCGATCCCATTTCTCCACCTCAACTATCGCCACCCAGATTGGGTCTCCTTCATTGGCCAAGTTCATCTTCCATGACACGGAGGAGGAGGAAGAAGACGGTCTCGTTGCAGATTCAGAGGAGAGCGGTGATGATTTCACATATAGTCCTCCCTCGGAGGCTTCTGATGGGCGTGAATTTTCTTGCTACAGTCTCCTAGAGGATGAATGCTCTTCTCAACAGTCATTTCAGAAGGGCTCCTCTCACTCTTCTTTGTCTCCCAACTCCAGGTTGACATTTGGAGGCGCTCTTACTGCCGGCATGTTGGATTCTGCCAAGATGACTTCTCTTGAGGACTTGATGAGTGAGGTTGGGTATCTTCACTCTGTCATTGGTGGAAACTAGAGCCTCTCTCGCTAATTTTTTCTTCTTCGCTTTTTTCTTGTCCTTGATATTCATATATCTTTTGTGCTTAGACACCGATTGTATGGCGTTAAGCTCCGCAAGGAGCGAAAGAATTTTGGGAGCGTTATTTTGGGCATTTCAAAAAAAGGGATAGCGTTTCTGAGGATTTGGGTTTCTTTCTCTTTTCACTTTTCATTTCCTCATTCTTTTATTGATCGAGGTTACAGCAGAGCAGACATTTAGCATGGAGTTTTTTCTACCGCGGGACATATCATTGGCACGGGCAGGGTCATGGCATATGGATGGTTGCGAGTTAAGCTGGCTTTTTTTTCTTTTGGGAGACCCTGGGGGTCATTTTCATTGCTTTCGTTTAATTCTTGTTGTTGTTGTTTTTTGGCAACTCACTGGTTGGGTGTGTTTCTTATTGGGGAAAAAGTGTGATTGAATGTATAGGTGGGTGGGTGGGTGTTGTGTATGTTTATGTATGAGGAATGTGATGGGGTATGGAGGATGTACGAGTGATGTTATGATTCGATGGTGTGGTGGGGTGGGGTGGTTGCTATTGCCCTTGCAGAGCAGAGCAGAGCAGAGCAGAACAGATAGATCGATATAGACTAGATATGAGATATCCTTTTTGTCTATTTGTTCTTACCATTGCTGTCAGTCTGTGAGAAATAATGGTACTGTATGAGATTAGTGATGTTTGACTTTCTTTCCTTTCCCCGGGGTTCGTGTGATTGATAAATACCAAGTTCGCTTCCTGATATCTGGACAGTCACTAGTGTAGTGATCTTTTATGGCCTTTTTATATTCTCTCCAGTACTTGGTACTCGTAACTCTTGTACTTTGCTATTTCACTAACATACTCGAAGACCTTAAAATTAGGGGGGGAAAAGCTTTGCGTCTGTTTTAATATCTCACGACTTATTTCGTGTGGTGTTGATGACCATCTTAGGAATCAAGCAGGATAGTGTAATGGGCTTTTAGCATCGAAGACTTGGGTATCTTGATGTAAAATGCGATGAATCAACACACTTACCAACCCTCCTTAGGAGCTCATCTGTATTTTCCAGTTCCGTTTTTTTAGTTTGGGGAATATCATGATCTCGCTTCCCTGTTAGATCACTGATGTCAGAGCGAGAGGTGAAGTCCTGGTTTACTTGTACACAGGGTATTTATATCTGACTTTGATGTGAGCAACGTTTCCTCCCCCTCCTCCCTCTCCCCTAACATACTCAACTTTTCCTATTGCATTCTAAACGCTGTCCTCATCTATTTTATCAAATTTAACTTGACACCTGTTGTACGCGGTACCTATCACTATCCTATAAACCCTGACCAACGAGTCTACTCTACTACCCCGGCCGATGGAAATGTAGTTGTAATTGTACTGTTATTTCAGATACTTGTGTACATACCTTGTGTACTTTGTGTAGTGTGCCGAAGAGATGTCAAAGTGAGATCGTGTATTGAATATCCTTGGTGGGGTTGATGTTAGATAGATAGAGTACCGGAGTTTGTTCAACATACCTGGTGATTGGGGGTTGAGGATGTCTTTAAGAGTGTTGTGAGGGGGAGGAGGGGGTTGTGGTGCTGGTTGTGGTGTTTGTGGATAGGGGGTATCTAGGTATGGAGTTGGTACTCTTAGAAAGGGCCTTGTATCGTGGGTGGGTTGAGGTTGGATTTGGGGGAGTGAGAGGGGATTGGTAGTTGGTGATTGGTGATTGGTGATTGGTAATCAGATTGGCTTTGGTTCTCTTTGCTGGGGCTGATGGCGGTATGTATATATATACCTTGACTGTGTTGATGTGCGGGTTTCCTGCTACTTTGAGGGATTTGATGGGTTGGATGGTGTTGGTGTGAGATGGGTTTTATGGTACTTGTATAGATTTTAGGATTAATGATATGAGTACGGAACGCGAATCGGATACTTCTATTAAACTAAAAAGCTAAAAAAAAACTAAGATGCTGAGATTTGACAGTCTCATGTTGTGATTTAAACAAGTCTTGTATATCTGTTTCAGTTATGGGCATAATAGAATCTCCATGCTCGCGAAGAATAATCCTCTTGAATGGCAATGGCGGATTCAGTGAATCAGTATCATTTACATTCTGATCACTTTAGCAAGCACGGGGAAACCCCATTGGTTTCTCTTCAAGTTTTGGTCTAACAAGACTTCAGAGGGTTTCTATTACTACTGGTTGTTTTATTGTGTAAGGAATATATACTCTGGTACTTGCAAAGTAGCAAGACCATCTAAATATTAATGAGGATTACTTAATGCTTGGGACAACAGTAATTTGGCAAGGATGATTCGAGATCTATTGAGTATCCTGAGAATTACCTTTTCTAAAACATCATAGGATTACCTTACTCTAGACTCCATCTTGAAGTATCAACTAAAAACAGGCCTGGATTCACAATGATCCTTCTCAAGACAACCTCGTACATAGGATCTGTGGAGCTCGAATAAGGTAAAGCAATTCAACACAGCAGAGTCGAGAATCGCTTAAATCAAAATAAATCTTCATCATCATACCAAGGTTCATGAAGTGGTTCACCAGCATCCCAAGCCACCATCTCATCACAAAGTTGCGGAACCTCTCCAACGCCAATACCAGAAACGGGCGCGAGTGCATCTCCTTCGTACAATTTCTTTCTCGCCTCACGGATCCCCAAGTACCTAACGTTCAGGTAGTCAACCACGTTTCGGAACCGCATGGGAAATTCATAGAAATCACCGTTCTCGAAATCTTTGACCAAGCACTCGACCAGATGTGACCCATAACCAGAATGATAAGCCACTCTTTTGTCCATTTTGCAGCGTATTTGAATTTGTCTTGGCATATTTCCAACACCAAGAGCATGTGCGAACCTCTCAAGGTAGAGCAGAGCTTCCGCGAAAACCATTTTTTGTTGAGTTGGATCGGGGTGCTGAAGTAGGTGGTGCCTTTCTCTTTTCATAAATTTGATGTGTTCTGCCATTGCCACTGAAGCTTCAACAATCCCTTGATATCTCGGCTCGAGAAGTTGAAGTATCTCACGACGGGCTCCTCCAAAGTCGAATTGTCCTTCTTGTAGTAATGCCCTTTTTGAAGCATGAATGGCTCTGCCTACAGGGTGTTATCGATTGAAAAGTGCGAGAAACTGGGTTTGAGGGTCGTAAGTATCAAGTAAGTTGCTATATCCTCGACGTTCCTCAAATATAGAAGACTCGATCTCAAAGAAGCGAGGCCATATCGCATAACCGTAGTAGAGCTCTTCCATCTTAGTTTGCACTGTTCCATGAGTTTCAAAGGCGGCGATATAGCGTACAAGAGCGTTGTGGATTGCTAGTGTGTCATCACGTGGGGTATTTCCAGTGGCGATCTTTCTCATTTCTGTTTCCAAAGCCTCAATATCTCCCTGGAATTCCGTGGTATTGTCAATCTGGCCTTTGTCGGTTCTTGCTTTGATCGAGAAGTTTCGGACATTCCGGAGAGATTGAAGTGGTTCCAAAAGTTCCTTGAGTGTTGTTTGGTGGAGCCCTGGGCCTGTTTTCTTTCTCGGCAAGTTTACCAATACCTCCAGCGAGTATAATTTACAATTGAAGATACGATGGCAAAATAGCCTGATTGCTCTTTGATCTTCACAGCCTTCTCTCCTCATGAAATCGAGCACAACTCTCCATCTCTTGATCTTGCCACAGAAAGACATGGTACTGGCGGACTCCTCTTGGCTGAGTGATACAACGTAGCCCCGGGACCAGATACGTTCTTCTCTCAAAGTACTCTTGCGGTAGATGCCAAAGTTTATGACGAATGTATTTTTCTGACTGAGAACCTTGTCGGCTTCGGCGCGAATTTGCTTGCAAGTTCCAAGAATGCTAGTCGAGAGGGGGGAGAAGTCTTCGCAAAAATCCGGATCGCCGAACTCGGGGTTGAGAAGTAGGTAGCCGTATATAAGCTCTCGAGTCTCCAGAGGTAATTCTTCAAGGAACCTGCACTTGGGCTTGGGCGTCGTAACATGTTCAATAATGCGCATGCGATCTTCGTCAGACAGGGTGATTTTGGCAAGGTCTGACAAGATATCGTCGACAGTACGTATCGTTAGGGCCATTTTGAATTGATTTGGTGGTTTGTTTGAGAGGCGGAGGTGGTTGATGGTAGAGGCATGGTGTTCCGAAAGGTGAACTCCAGATGCGTCGGTTGCTTGGTGGTTACCGAGCGAGCGCCTCGCTTATGACCCCCACAGAACTTTTTCCAAAATACCCCTGAAATGGCCACAACAAAGACTTCAAGCAGAAGACTCTTACAATATATTTGGTTTATCCATTGTTAATCTAAGTGTTCTGGGACAATTAAAACAATCTTTCTAAGACTGTGGCGATATTCTCTTCTCCTGGTGCGCTGATATTAGCAAGCTTGTTTGTTGGTAAAGGTTTATCTGCATTCACTCTCTTTGTACCCAGATGTCATGAGAAACTATGAGTCACTAGGTTGATCTGCCAACAACAACTGCGCGTCGGAGTAGACTTTTTCCGTGTTGCTGGAGCCGACCATGCCTCCACCACCGATTGCGCAATTACAACTCTCACAACCCCCACAACAACCTGTCTTCATTAGCATTCAACACAATGACTGACAGAATTGCCACCCTAGCCTGTGATGACACTCAAGGCGGAACCGACCCTGTACTTGCCCCCAATAGCGGATCGGAGAAGCGCCAAACACTTGCGACAATACCAAGAGAGCTAAGAGAAAAGATACTACAAGAAGTCCTCTCGATCAACAACAACACCTCCTTCGACATTTACAATGACCTTGTACAGCCTCCAGAAAGACTGGAAGATGAGCCACAGGAGGTGCAACTTGACTTTGCTCTGCTCCCTCCCACTCCACATGAGCGGAAAGTCTTTTGGAACATCCCAACGTCCGTCTTTTTGGTCAACAAAGATATTTCCACTGAGGCTATTGAGTGTTTTCACCGTGAGAACATTCTTGTTTCCGTCGAAACTGCTGGCTACCGTTTCATCAAGAATTGTGCATCTCAAATCATTCCTTTACGCCAAACAGCACACCGTGAGAAAGATGTAGCTCTGCACCTCAAGCTTTGCTTCAGTGACGAACACAACACCGCAGCTGGAGCAGAAGGAGCGGTTCCCGAATTTGCTGTCATGACAGCTCGACATTTGCCCATCTTGGTACAACTTATTAATGCAACCTCCATCACACGACAGAGACTAGGTGGAAGACCAAGAGAAAATGACCTCTTTTTCATTCGGATGACAGACATGACACTTGATTTCGACACTGGAAGCAAATATTACGCCAAGAATGCGATGGATGTAGCGGGAAGGGTGGTTGTTGATGGCCTGAAAGGATTGCGACAATTTCGTTGGTCTCGTTGGTCTCATTGGTGGACACCTCAACAGCTCGTACATGGTATCTCAGCGTGGAACTTGGGAGTTAAAAGAGGCATTGTGGTCAATGGTCTAAGTGAGAAAAAGGCTGAGGAGTTTCTTGCTGCGTCAAATTTGCCTTGCTTGGTCTCAATGGATTATTTGACAGAAGCTAAGCGATTGAAGACACATGGCGACCAGCTATCACGAGACGGACATTATGCTGCTGCACACTCATTTTACATTCTTTCCGCCTGGATGATTACAGAGCAACCCGTCCCTCGCAGATTGCTCTTCAGCCACACTTTGTTCAGTACAAGAGATTGCGACAGCAGCAAAGTTTTGCTTGCGGCTTGGTCAGGTACCGCGCGAATGGGAGCGAAACTCTCTCCAAACTCCATGGAAGCTCAAACTCTTGAATATAGCTTGATGACTTCCCTTAAGGTTATTTTTGGTGCGAGTCGTTTCAATCCCGTCGTACAAGAAGAGATACTAGCTGCTTATGGCCACGAACTTCTGAAGCACCACGAATACAATAATTTTATCGAAATCCTCGAAATGGCTATAAACAGCAATAAGGAGGAACAGTTCAGCAGAAGAAATGCAATTTTGAGAGCAATTGGCCTCATGCTACAAGGATCCGAAATACAGAGAAAGGAGTTCAGATCGAACTGTCAAAAATACATCAAACAATGCCAGGAGGAAAAGGAACGGTGGCTTGCTGGCGACGGTACTATGCAGGGTTTCGACTTTTTTCCAAAACACCTTCATGAGCACCTTTTGTCTTGAATACTTTCTACCTTGAATATGTTCTGCCTTGAATATGTTCTGCCATGAATATGTTCGGCCTTGGCCTCAAATACTCTTTAAGGATCATGTAATTGACAGTCAGTGGAGAGGATAAATGTCTTAAAACCATCCTGCCTGTGTAAACTTGATTGTGTGAATATTGAGCAAGTCTCGTCAAATGACTACTCGCCTTGCCATTGACAACAATGGAATATGGCTTTGTCCTGACCAGCAGGCTCAGCTGGCTAGCAAACTGCAGAAGCATGGCCTCCTTATGGAATCAGCTTAGTATTTATGAAATTCCATCTGCAATGAATTGAGAGAACGGCGTAATAAGAGCTCCAGTCCTATTCAATGTATATTAAGCTGCATTAAGCTGCATGCCGACAAGGGATATAGTAATGAGCTGCTAATCAAGTAAGCGGGGATCATGAGTAGAGGGCTCTCTCACTTTTTGTTGGCATATGAATGACAGTATGTTGCCATTAGATATAATAGAAGTTCTATTCCCATCAGTCACTTTCTGCACCTTCGATAGTTCCTCCCAACAATCATCTGCTTCTTCATCTGTGATAATATCACCTTTTAATTGCAAAATAAATGATACCTATCTCTTGAGAAGCGAGGCTGGTTTTTGCTGTTGTCAAAGACTGGCCCATTGATCTATACATATTCACTACCGAAAATCACTACGCCAAAAACCTGGCACATGTAACTCAATTATCCTAGCATACCTCGGTTAACAAGAAGTGAAGAGTAACAGTAGTTCTAACCCACTTGCATAAATCCGACTGGACAAAGCGTTTAGATAACGTTAACTTAACACAAGTGCAGTCAGAGCAAAGACCACCTTCCTTACAGGTGTGATTTCGATAGATGATCCCTCATGAGGTTAATGTGTTTTCTCTAGAAAGAATGTCCACGGGGGGATTAATGATGGGGGGTTGAAAAAGCAAAATGCTACGTTCACCAATCATCAGAGCAACAAAGACTCAGGATATAACCCACCATTCCAAAATAAGTTAACACTTGACATATCAAGTACGCGACGGGATCTTGTAGAGATAGAAACACACAAAGACATGTCGATTTCGCTGAAATCATGCCATTATCTGCGATTCATTCTTCAGCAGACTGAAAATTCTTAATAAATTTCTTGTCCCCTCCGACACTCAAGTCTTTTGTTCACAAATTGGTGGTACTGTAACTCCATGAAGGTTGGTTTGTTCGTGAAGCAAGCAGAATGCTGGAAAATATGGCAGAAGGTCAGCTGACCGTCCTAATTTCACCACCGTTGCTGCTATGCTGAAAGCCCTAAAATAAGGCTTCCATACGTCTTGTGGTGGAAATAACCACCTGATGACTATCAGACCACGTTCTTGGATGGATACAGCTTCTACAAAGCGTTTGCCACATTGGTGATGATTTGGGTCATAAGCGAGAAATATAGGGGTTGCTAAAAAATGCGCTAGACACCAAATCTCTTTTGTACTGTACAAAAATGGTTTAAGAAATATCTCATATCATCTGATTTGGAACCAAAGCTGTGGGCAATGTTTGTGAGATTATAAACCAACGATCCATGCTTTCCGCGATGTTTCCCTTTCCAGCAAGCCTCAATGGTGACGGTCAGATGAGATCAGTACAACATAATGAGTTCAGAAGATGGTTGCTACAGAAATCTATAAGTACCAATAATTGTACTCTGGAAGCCGAATTTCTGATATTCATCTTTAGGTTGCTGTCCTCCGAGTTCCTTTTTCCTTTTTCTGGAATAATAATTTGGAAGTCTGTTCAACATGTCTGATAATTTCAGAAAACAAGACGATTCTCACCGCCCAGACAAGAACAGACGTGAATCTGGGTATGGTGGTTACGGCCAACGGGAACAGGAACGCGAACAAAGTACCATGAGCACGAGTAGTCATAAAAGAAGGCGGTCCCGATCTGAAGATAGTAACTCCCAAGGTCGCCCAAGGTCATCACGCCGAAGATACTATAGCAATGATGACAGGAGTTCTAGCGGTAATACTGGAAGTTCATCTCAAGGACGACAACAACACAGCCCTTTCAGTCAGTCTCGAAGGCCCGCGAACCAAGATTCCTACGGCCACAGAAGCTCACAGTACCCCGGGGAGGGTCCTTCCGGACATCGTGACCGCCGAGGGTCATCGGTGTCAAGTGCTTTCCAAAACAGCAGCGCAGGAAGAGACGACTATAATAATAGAAGGGGGAGTGGCTCATCAAGACCATCCGGCCGGACCATGCATGATAATACGTCCCTCAGAGGAAGAAGTTTCTCAGGCTCTGCCAGTCTTCACGAGAGTCATCTACTTAGTAATACCTGGAGATCCAGCTCCAGGCGTCAGAGTTCCCAATTCGACTCGGTTAATGTGTCTGCTTTCCGGGAAGTCAATGACCCTAATGAGAGGCAGACACCGAGCAATAAACTCAGAAACTCCATAGAACTCATACACTCTACTATCGGAATTTCGATCTCTCGAGATGCTCCCAAGAACAAAAATCCATCCGTAGAAGATAAAAAAGGCCCGGAAGAAGAAAGGAATGCCAGACGCCAACAATGGATTTGTGATGCGAGCTCCATATGCAATTATGAACCTCCCGTAAGAACAGCCATCGATGGCACTGTCTTAGCCAACCGTTTCAAAGTCACGTTCAATGGAGGAGCCGCTGCCAATTTGATCAAGTATAAGATCAAACTGGGAACTATCAAAGGGAAACCGGTGATAAGCAAGCAAGGAAAGAAAAATCTAATTAAGGCACTACTTCAGAACATTCCACCTGACACAACCGCTTGGGCATCTGACTTTGAGGAAAGAATTATGTCATGCGGCCCACTCTACCAAAAAACCCAACGACTGTGTTACAAGCAAGGACGAGAGCTACGAAGTCAAACATCCGCTAGCATTTGGTGTGATAGGGATGACCACTATCATTGAAAGGTTGGGGAGAATTGAATACGAGAAGCTAAATGATTTTACCAATCCAAAATCTCAGCCAGACCCAAATTACGTGCCAGACGATGATCTTCGGCATCTCAACATCATAATCAGGAAGTTTGTGGAGGAGGCGGATGTCAAAGTTGGTCGAGTTGGCAATAAATTTTACCCCAACTACCAGCATAGAGCGTATTCTGATGTCTCGCATAATTCCGCTTTATGGATTAAGAGCGGATATTTCAGTTCTATGAGGCCTGGCGAGGGATCTCTCATTATGGGCATCAATAGTACTACATCTGCTTTCTACGCCCCCACCACGTTACAGAACTGGATTGAGCAAAGACATTCAAGCAGCCACTATGGAGAACCTTTACCGGGGTGGGTCAAGAATGAGCTCAAAGGACTGCGGGTCAAATTTGAGGGCAGAAGAGAAATTAAAGGACCTGGAAGTAAAGATGAAAGTCAACAAGAAGCAAAACATTGGAGCATCCACAGCATTGTCGATGGCAAGTCTGTTACCCAGGTGGAATTCATTTGCAAAGAGAACGGCGAACCGATAAAAGTTTACGACTATATTGCCAAAGGTACGTTTGCTTCTTTCTAGAGTATATCAAAGCCTTTGAAAAATGTGGCGAAAAATATGACTGAACAAATACTGATGGGGGTCTCCAGAATTTTGTCGTCCTGAAGGAAACCTAGAAAGAGATCAGCTCTCAGAAAACGCATATTGTGTGAACGTTGGCGACAACACGCGTAAGATCTTTTATCCCGCTGACCAATTAGTATTGTTGAATGGCAACCTTTCAAGGGACACATGGAGGAAATGCTTAGAAAAGCAACCAGAGCACCAAATAAGAATTGTACGTTGATTGAAGATTTTCGAAAGCATGGGCTTGGCGGCGATCATAAAGTAAGTTTGACGAAGGAAAGCGATATGAAATAGGCTAAAGATTTGTGCAGAGGTTCGGCATTAGTATTGAAGACAACTTTCTGTCCCCAAAATTTCGAAAGATTGACCCGCCGACTCTTCAATACGGGCAAGGCAAAGTGGCCCAGCGTTCAAGTCAAACCAACATGACGACTAAAAAGCCACCGACCAAAAAACCCAACTCTTGGAACTTGGGACTGATTAAAAAGCTTTACGATGTCAAGGGTGGAGAGCTTTCCGCGATACACGTCATAATTATTGGAGATCACATAGATTTCAAATGGTCCAAAGGTTTCTTTGACCATCTTTCTAAGGCTCTCTCTCGCCATGTCGCCTCAAAAGAAGAACTTCAAGTTCTTGAATTTCCCGTTCCAGATATCCCCGAAGAAGCAGACAACGTTCAAGATCGACGAATCCTGTTTGAGCACTTTCTCAATGAAGCGGTTGATAAATTGACAGAGGATTCTCTCAACAAGAAGCAACCTAAGCTCATATTTGTGTTAATACCTCACCAGAAAGCAAAACATGACTATTAAGATGATGTCAAATGGTGGGGTGATTGTAGACGTGGAATTCCGACTATCGTTCTAAAGGCACAAAAGCTGTCGAGCACAGATAGTATGCTTAAAGCAAACTTGTGGTAAGTCGAATCTACCAATTCAGAATAGTACTCGACAATAACCATTGATTCTGTTACAGCTTGAAAGTCAATTTCAAACTAGGGGGAACAAACCATATGCTCCAGGATACTACAAGACCTAAAAGCCGAACTATGGTCGTTGGTGCCGATGTGACCCATCCAACTAGGTGTATTGATGCAGGGTGTCCTTCTCTTGCTGGAGTAGTTGCCACAAATACCGGAGGAGACCAAATTAATCACTATTTGGCTTCAGCACGATTGCAGGTCAACAATACAGAGGTGAAATCTGCTGAGGGATATGGAGTTTTTGAAAGAGAGATGCTAATTTATCAACATAGTTCATTAGTGATCTAAAAGGCATGATGGTTGAACGACTCAAGTCTTGGAAAAACCGCAATGGCAGTCCTTTGCCTGAGCACATTCTATTCTACCGAGATGGACTCGGAGAGAGCCAGTATGGCATGGTACTAAAGAAAGAGTTGCCACAAATTGAACGTGCCATAAAAGAGTTCAGGGAAAATGAAGCGATAGAAAGCTCTTTACAGAATCCCAAGATCACTTTGGTGGTCGTTGGCAAGAGACATCACACTAGGTTTTTTCCAGCTCTCCAACCTCCTGATAGACTAGAGTACAATCTTGAGGGTGGCTCGGTTATCGATTCTGGCGTCATCGATCCAAAACGGTTCAACTTCTATCTTCAGAGCCACGACAGTCCGTTGGGAACCGCCAAGAGCGCCCATTGAGTGGTCATCTATAATGAAAGCAGCTATACAGCTGAAGAATTGCAAAATGCGGTAAGAAATTTCACTGGTACAGAATGAATCATCCAAGTACTGACTCAGCGATAGACAAACCAGCTCTGCCATGTTGGATCTCGTGCGACTGTGCCACTTTCAAAATGCGTCGCAGTACAATATGCCGATTTTCTTTGCAGACGCCTGAGATGTTACATGGGACCGGTTCTCGATGGAAGTGTCACGGATTTTATCAACAACGCTGATGTTGAAGATTATAGAAAGGAGAAGTTGATTTGGGGAAGCTCCGTAAACGAGAGGTCCAACCCGTGGAAGGAGAGCTTGGACAATATTATGTTCTATATTTGAGCACAACTGGTGTTTTAATTTTTTTAATTTTTTTAATTTTTTTGATTTTAATGTTTTGCTTGGGTACAAGATTGTTTACGCATATTGCATTTTAGGAGCTTGGAGTTCGGCACTTTCGTATTTTTTTGTACTTCGATGCTTTCATACAGTATTACTGTATTGAGAATGGACAGGTTTTGGATTCGCCTTGATGTTGTCTTTAGTAGCATGTGACAAGTTTTTAGGTAAGAGAGGCCCTCATTACTCTAAACATACCTAGGATACAACAAGACCACCCTAAAATTCTTGTACAACTAAAATAGGTATATTGTAAACATTTTAGGACAATTCAGATAAAAACATTTCTATTAACCCAAATTAGGGACAAACAGGTTGATTATATGAGTAATTCTAGCACAATAGATTCTCAAGGTGTGTTCGTAGGAAAGGACATGTCACTTGCCAATAAACTCGTCGTCACTAATTCGGTAAGGTATATTCGTTTTCCGTGAGACATCGGAAGAGGCTGCTCGTCAAGTTCTTGATTGATTATCACGGTTCTATCACGACTTTGAAATGGTCATGTTTAAGACTGAGTAATTATTAAATTGCTGGTTTTTTTTCGTCTCATATAGCAGGAATTTCTGATATGATATTGATTTTGCAAGGGTGTAAGACGAACACTCGTTATTTAATTCCTCTCTTCTTCTTCACCCGTACACAAAATCTAAGCACGTCCTCCGCATTTTGGCCCAATCCTACCCAATGTTCAAGTATAATAATAACAAGCCTCCAAACATCAGGATCCTCATAACCATCATTCAAATCCACAGCCTCACCTTGACTCCCACCTCTCACCACCTCCAGAAACTCGTCCTTAAACTGCTCGCGATCAACATCTGACACCGCTTTTTCGTCAGAAACCCAATGTTGATTTATTATCCATCTAAGAACTTTTGGTAGACCGGCTTGCTTCGAGTGCTTATCCGAGTACCAATCGCATAAGCGAGGCATCGGATACATCATTTCATAGTCCAAGAGTGCGGTAGGACGACCGGTCTTCTTATCGACCAAGAAATTTCCTCCGTGAAGATCGTGATGTGATAGATAAGGAGATGGAGGGGCTCCAGGACGCCCGAGAAGGAGGGGGATAATTTCTGCCAATGCGGAACATTCCTTGGGGATGATGTCTGAGAGATGGACTGGGAGATACCAAATACTCATGTCTTCGGCCACCGTCAAGTCTTTGTTGACCTGCTCTTTCTCGTTTTCCTTAATATGCTCGCCTTTATCTTCCTCAACTCGCTCGTGACCATTCGTTTGATCCTTGTCTTCGTTGATTTTTCCAACGCCATTCTTCTGCTCCTCGCCTGATCCTTCTCCTTCTAATAGTCCTTGTATTTCTTCTTCCATTCGATCAGCTTCCCATTTGAGTTCCGTCTCCGCTGCTTCCAGGATATTCTTCGGATCTCGACACATCCTCAAAGTAAGATCAAACTTAGCCATCAAAAACTCCCGCAAGTCCTTATACGCACCGCGATGAAAGTCCTCCCCAACACGACCAGCACACATAAAAAACGGATCCACAACACGCCCAACGTCAAACGTGCCCTTTTCCCAGTCGTAAAAAATAGAGCCGATCTTGTCAAATTTAAGACTCTCGAGTTGATGTAACCAACCCGCAACCTGCATCAAAGCCTCTCGCTCTTGCTGTATAGACAGAGTGTTACTTTTATTGAACGGCACACCCGACATCTTCTCCATAAGAATCCACTCAAACCCAATAGGATTATCCGTCGACGGGTCGAACGCAAAGACGCGCGGAACGGGAATCGATGTATGCTTCGCAACATACAGCATAGTGGCAACCTCGCTTTCGACTTTGTACCAAGGATCCACCGGCAGAGAAACGCGTAGGATACAAGGAGTGCTCAGATCGGGGGACTTGACTTCGTATATACGATTGATGTATCCTTTGGTCCATGGTTTGATGGTGATGGCACTTGAAGGGTCTCCCTCGATGCCGGGGAGGTAGGGTCGGATTTCTTCTTTCATGGTGTTAATTCTGGGGGCTCTGAGCCAGTCTGTTGCGTAGTAGCCGGAAGCAGCTTTTTCCCAGAGCATATTTTTGTGTTCTAAGAGGGCTTCTTCTAGGCTAGGAGGTTTGCCGAGATAGACTCGCTGAGGAAACCAGGGGGCGTCAAATCCAGGAGGTGGATGTCCGTTGGCGCAAGACATGGTGGTTTGTTGCTTGTTGGGATGTCACGCCAAAACTTTGAATAGTGTAGGAGTGGTGGGAGACTTGATTAAGTAGATGAGCGAGGCGGTAATAGACGGACATCCCTTGCCTGCTCTTATGTACTTGCCAACAGAATCTAGGCCAATTAGATTTCAAAGCGTTCATATTCATCTCAAATAGCCAGCTATTCACCAATCATTCTAGAAAGCTCAAGTAAAGGGGATGTTTATATCACGTGAGGAGAAACAACCGACAAGAGCTAGCGACGGGGGCAGGAATTATCAACAACTTTATATTTCCTACCCGAGAGTAGGATATATGCGCTAGAGCCCTAGGGCTCTCTATTTCTCGCCTACTACCATCCCTATTTGTATACCACCTCTTATATCCCTACTATTGTAGCCAGCCTTTTTATTTCTGAACAGGAATAGAAAGAGTGTGGCACCCTGAGGCTCTCCAAACCCCAGGTTCTGGTCCTATATATGTGCCCCCTTTATCTGTGACCAGGAAAACGTGAATATAAAAAGACAAACTGTCCTCTCTCCTTTCAATTCACTAAGCGAGTCCACGTGCCAAGCCACAAAAGGGGACAGCACAGCAACGCATCAACACGATATATCCAATTCACTAACTATGAAAGTGACCAGTAATACAAGTGAATCAGTAATACCCCCAGATAGCTTCAAACATACGTCATAACTAAACCTTTTTTCTTTACAAATTCAGATCGCGTAAAAGTAAACGTACACAACCAACCTTGTTCCACCAACATCAATTCTCCAAATCAATCATAATAAAATGAGGTAAGGACAATAAGATGTATGACTATTTACAGCTGCTATCCTTGTTCAAGAGAAGAGCCTTTAAATTGTGTAACATAAGCATAGATCAAAGTCATCATATCAAGACGCAAAAGGTATCATGAATCAACCGCAAAACTTAATCAATACTACTGTAACAGCTCTCCTGTCCAACAGAATGGATAAACGACGAGTCCGACACAGCATATTATGTCACGCATCAACTCACTAACGTTCAATACCATATGTAAAGAGAAGAATGCCTCATTGAATTCTATTCAACGCCAAAAAAAGACTTGCTTACCCAGCATCAGTCTTTTCCCCAGGGTAAATTCTATCCTAAGCCTAGAAGACTAGACTAACATTACGTCCTGATAGCTGACGGGCCCCCAGCTTCATCACTGCCCTGTATCTCAATATCTAAACTAAAACTAGAAGCGCTGGTTGAAGGCAGCACATCCTCCTGTACCTTTAACCTTCTCAACGCCCTCTTCATTCCCTCCAACGCCGTTCGTTCTTTGATTAGCATACCTCTTGCCAATTCTTTCAATGCCTTCTTTCCAATTCTTTCGTGGAGATCTTGCCAGCCTGCAAGTTCCGAAGCAACAACTTGCTGGGTATATCGCAATTCTCTGCCTAATTCATCGACTTCTTCTGTGGTTTTGCGCACTTTTTCTTCTTTTTCTTCGTTCAAGCGTTGGCGGGTTTCGTCTAGCAGACCGAGTGGCCATCGGGTAGACCTTGAAAGGGAATTATATGATCGTTCAATGGCTTTTCGTGACGTGTTGATAGACTGGATTAAGGACGTAGGTCGCGAAAGCGAAAGAAGCATGGCGATTATGGTACTATGTATGGAGAGCATCGTAGCATGAAACGTCGTGATCGGTGATGATGTAGTGGGAGCCAGTGTAAGTACGTAAGCTTCAATTGCTGACAGATGGGTAGCTGGAAGAAACTCCAGAGTCGAGAGAGCTCTTGTTGCTAAAGTTACAGCATCAAAGAAGTCTACTTATTGTTAGCGAAAATACATCGCGAAGATTGACAAGCCTTACCTGTGTCGACAGTTCGAAGCATGTTGGCTCGTCGTGCAACACTTTTTGTGGAATAATTGACGCTTCGAACCGTATCTCTTGCATGGTCAATGAACTGCTCGACATCTTTTATGTCCTCCACTGGCTCGTACTCTTCCCGCACTTTTTCGATTCTCGTCTCTGCTTTTAATTTGCTTCGTTCTTCCATCATATCTGATTGGATATCAGGTACCAAAAAGAACTCCCATAACATTTCGTGGGTAGAGAATGTTGAGTGAGCTAGGAGTATCTTCAGGAAACTATCCAGCCTGACTTGGATATCCCGCAGAACAGCCCGTGATGGCTTGGAAGGGAATTGAAATGGGGAACGCAGTCCGGAAATCGATGGAAGCCACGATGCTGGGTTTTCTAGACCCAACAATTTTGCTAAATTTTCAAAGTCTGCAAGGGACCTCCGGCACGTAGTAACAGTAAAACTTTGTTGGGTGGATGGCGCTCCAGACTTTACCACGAGGCGAATAGTGGCATCCTCAACGAAAAATGATCTTACAACAGCAGTGATTCTCCCATCTGCTGCAGGTTGACCGGAGAAAAGAATCAAATCGTCAATCCGATTCCTTACATCATCATCTTTCGCGAGTTCCACAGCTGTTAGACCTCGCGATTCTTTGGCGAAAAGGTCGACTCGTGGGTCTCCGAACAAAACACGGACCATTTCCAGTCTCCCATATTTGCTGGCCACCATCAAGGCTGTAAACCTTTTGTCATTGATAGCATTCACATCGGAATCGCAGTGCAGCAATATCCGCAGAGCAACTTGAGCATCGTTAACGATATGAAGTAAAGTGTTGCCTTTTGCATCAACATGGTCGTCAAGGTGCAATGGCTGGCCGTCTCCTTGAGAAGTCGTTGCAGACAACAGAGCATTTTCGACCATCGCTCTATAATTTCCATGGTCATAAGACCTACAAAGGGCGAACAATGGCGTTTGGCCATTCCTGTCCTTCTGTCGCCATGGTAATAGTCGACCAACTCTCGGTATAAGAGAGGGAGCATTAAAAAGGTAATGAGCAACACTTCTACCTCTAACATCTTGTCGAGCCAAATACGCAACAACAACCGACTCCGGTCCTGCATGAAAAACATAGTCCAATATTATATCAATAAGCTCGGTATGCCCAAGCTGAACAGCAGCGCTTAACAGGGTAGTGCCTTCGTTATTCGTGTCTTCAAGAACAATGTAGGGAGGAAAATACTCGTGCAGAGAGAACAAATATTTCAAGGCCTCTGGTCGTTCATTTTGCACAGCCATCATAGGAATAGATTCGCCAAAAGAATCCTCCGTCTGCGACAAGCGCTGAATGGATGTGTCTCCTTCAATACCACTGGTCATTGAATCAATGGTAGTTGCTCGAGATCTGAACGACATCTCTGATCCACTTGACATGCTCCGCATATCCATTGTAACAGTTTTCGGTCTTCTTAGTGGAGGTAATCGTTCCTCTTCCTCTTCCTCAGCCTCTTCGTGCTGAATCTGAAATGGATACACGTGATTCAGCGTTGAACCCTGTGATGACTTGTTGAAACTACTCCGTGAGGATTTCCGAGAGTGTCCGTTGACAAGATTCCAGCGAGGCACGCTGTGGGAGGCATCGTCATCGATTGGTTGCGGACTTTCGCATTCCTCGTCCGATAATTGTTCTCTGTGAGGCTCCATTATGGCCATCATATCCTTGATATTTCCTTTTCTTGTCGATTCCCATAATTTGTAATTCCTCCGACTCGCTTTGCGTAGTCCTTGGGAGTCTTGCGCAAGATAGGAGAGCACAGCTTCGAAGGTACTAAGAGCGTAGCCCATCTCGCCGCTCTCAACATCGTCGATATATATGAAGTGGCGCATATACAGAAGGCGTGCCTGTAAATATCGAACCTGGGATCTGATAACCACAATTAATAATAGTGATACAAGCGTATCAGCGTTAATCGTCAGAACAGTTGCGACTTTTTCGGAAGGTCCGCTCGTTTTTGACGGCTCCGCAATTTGCGTTACCGTCTTTAATGTTGTTAGTAGGATATCCATCATTTGTTGGGGGCTCCCAGCTACACCAAGTTTCCGGAATTCATCCACAGCCCGACCAAGCCGCAACGTCAATTCGTGCTTTCCAGCGTGACCTCCTTGGATAGCTATTCCAACTTGCGAGATATCTACAAACTCCATCTGGCGAATTTTTGACTCCAGCTCTAGATCTTCTGGTCGCTTCATAGCACAGATACGAGGATAAAGGATGGTATCATGCACTTGTTCAGTCACGTACCGTTCGATCAGGCGTTCGACAACAGGCCCAGTCAAATCTGTCGTTGCGCCGAGAAGAGATAGCTGTTGCTTGTCCACCATTTGGAAAAGATCAATAGCAGTCATCACAGCCGTTTCCAAAGCACCGCGCATAACTTCATCATCATCCTCAGCATAAAAGTCCTCCATAGGACGTTCGACATGACCATTCGTTCGAAAACTTGGCGCAGAGTTGGTACTATTTGATCTTACTTTCTTCATGGCTGTCGCAATAGGCCCATCCGGAAGTGGATCTGGTATTATGGAGGCCGAAGGGGGTGGTGGTAATGGCTTATCAAAAACCGTAGCAAACTCCTTGAACAAACGCTCAAGCCCCGGCTGCATTTGCCTTGCAATCATAGGGAAATTATTGAGCAACTCATTGAATGTCTTTATGTCCTTCTTTTTGGGCAATGGATTTGAAGGCCCAGCATCTCCGTCAATCTCTGGGCTGGGAGGCAGACTGGGCCTGCCATTCGAGAGACGAAGCGGCAGAGTTGCAGGCATGATTTTGACTTCCTCATATATCCCCAGCAACGGCCTCGAAATGTAATAAACCAGCCATTGCCGCGGCTCTAACGAATCGGGATACCAGATGGTATCAGAATATAATTGGGCCTGGTTCAGCGTTTTGAATCCTATCAAACCCATCAGTATAGTGGTTTTCCCCCAGAATCCTTGACCAACCTTTATTGCTATACACAAACGCATCCTTAATCACTATCGTTCGGCCATTAATAGTTGTATATTGTTTTGCCTTCCCCCGACTTTCGCGCATGTTGGGCACATCCTTCCCTCCCGCCGTAGCATGATTAGCTGGTATTCGTAAGACATGGCTTCCCAAGAATTCCTCAGACCCCGCGAGATCCGAGTAGAGAGCGCCAGACTCGCGATCGCGGGAGGTGAGGAGAGATTCGGTTGTTGGAACAAGCAGAATCTACATGCTGGTCAGCGCATCTCTTTTGGGCGCAAGGTATGGCTATCTGGTACAGCTTACATGATTATGGACTGGCGTACACTGAGCGGGAAAGGTGCTTTTGAAGAAGGCACATAGGAATGGATTTAGAGGTTGCATTCATTCAACATTCGAGCGGCGCATCCAGAACAATTTGGCATAAGTCTGGGGGCGCCTAAACTCGTGTGCGTGTGATGGCTCTAGCAATCGGGCTTGGGGACGTGGTATGGTATGAATACGTTGGCGTTTGGGTGTGAATGGTGTTGTACGTTGGGTGGGGAGTTTTGAAGGGACAGGGGGCAGCTGGGCGCTCGAGAATCTGAGTGGATTATGTTGGAGACGCAGGTTGGGAATGATTGTTCTGATCTGATAGATGGGTTGGCGCCTTTGGGAAGCTTGTGATGCGACGAAGGATGACTAAGCCGCCGGATGAACTCTCCCAAGCTCCTTTTCAGGCTAAATGCATACTCGTATACCTAGCGAGCTAGTCTAGGTATAGTCTATAAATAGATTAAGAATTCGCAAGATCTACCTACCCAGATTTACCCCCTGCGAGCACGAGACATCCTCCAATCTCACCTGGGCACTCTTACACCATTCCTTACCAAATAAGTACTTGTACAGATTCACCTGCAATGGACGGGAATTGGAACCTGGAAGCCCTGTAATATCACGTGCCTTGATGGCATGCTGAGGGCTGCCTTAGATTAATTGGAAATGGGCTGATCCAATGAACATATTATCAGTTGGGACGTTACGTAGCGTAGCGACACAAGCTCTCCTCCCACTTCCAATTCTCTGATACGCATCTCCGGCTCAAGGAGCTTCCTGGATCTATGAGAATTTACCCCTCGAAAATTGAAGACGGGATCCAATCTCTTGCTGCTTCCTTACGTTAAAATTTAAGCTTCGATACACTTCTTGCCTTTGGACTTATCTGTATCTACCTCTCCCCCATCTCTTACATCACTATAAAATACTCTCCTTTACTTGAAATACCGTCTCTCAAATCCACAATCCCCAGATTCTCAATCCCTTCGATCTAACAAAATGGTCAAGAAAGTTCTTGTTGGTTACGGTGTTGATATTGATGCCGTCGCAGGTTGGCTAGGAAGCTATGGTGGGGAAGATTCAACAAGTGACATCAGTCGAGGTTAATGGAATTTTCTTTCACCCCACCTCTCACATATACCTATGCTTCTAGGATGGATCACTCACATATATCCACCAGGCTTGTTTGCTGGAACAATTGGTGTCCGTCGTCTTCTCAAACTCTTCGAAAAGAATAATATCAAAGCAACATGGTTCATGTAAGCAGTGTATTCCACTAAGCAATCGAACTATTGCTCTTGAGATTTACCAACTTACAGCAAAAGTTTGAGGGGAAATGATCTCCAGACTACATTCACATCTTATACCATCCAACCATTTCTCTTCATCCTCCACTGCCATATATATGAACTAACTCACAACTCCATCAGCCCAGGTCACTCGCTAGAAACCTTCCCAGAAGAATGCGAAATGATCCGCGACACAGGTCATGAAATCGGTCTCCACGGCTACACCCACGAAAACCCCGCCGACATGACCCTAGAACAACAACGAGACGTCCTCGACAAAACCTACCGTCTCCTCACCACATTCTGCGGCAAGCCACCCCGAGGAAGCGTAGCCCCCTGGTGGGAAACCTCCAAAGAAGGAGCCGAGCTCCTGCTCAGCTACGGAATCGAATACGATCACAGCATGTCCCACGATGACTGCCAAATGTACTGGTTGCGCGTAGGAGACACCTGGACGAAAATCGATTACACGCAAAAAGCAGAGACCTGGATGAAGCCGCTTGTCAAGGGAAAGATGACTGGCTTAGTGGAAATTCCTGCTTCGTGGTATATTGATGATTTGCCGCCTATGATGTTTATCAAGAAGTCAGTCAATTCCCATGGATGGGTTAACCCGAGGGATGTGGAGGAGTTGTGGATGGATCACTTTGATTATTTTTATGAGAATTATGATGAGTTTGTTTTTCCTATGACGATTCATCCTGATGTTTCGGGGAGACCGCATGTATTGAAGATGCATCAGAGGTACGTCTCTTACTCACTCAATCTAAGATGTTGCTAACGACATCTTGTAGAATCATCGACCATATAAACAAACACGAGGGCGTTGAATGGGTAACCTTTGAGCAGATGTCTGATGACTTCAAGAGCAAAAATACTCCCGCTGAGGGAGCTATGATGCCTGCTGCGCCTGGCGAAATTTTGAAAAAGTAGTTGTAACATCTCATAGCTATCGAAAATCAATCTTTTGTAGCAAGTTTTCGACATAAGTACCTATTTCGAGAATGCACACAACGCGTGAAATCTACTGTAAGAGACATGGTCATTACTCTGTAATCTTACACACCTCTTTTAAAATAATATTCTCCTAGAAGCCTCGCACAACCAAAATAGTTATATATGAAGAGCTTGAAATGACTCTTAACTCTTACTTCAAATTAGCCTACCTAGGTATCCTAAGACAATTATTTTGGTTGTACTAGAAGTTTTGTATGACAACTTTTTATATAGTGTGTACAGAGTAAAGACCAAGTATCTTATTAGCTGTGATTGAAATTTCAGACATTACGGGTAGGACCGAAAAGCACCACCCTTTCTTCGTCTTGCTCTGAGTCGTTATACTACCGTGTATAGTGCCCTTCATAAGAGTGTTGATAATTCGAAGTGGAGGATTTCTAGTTCTTCTACTGTACATGTATCTTTCCATTGTGTTAACTAAGGTGGTGAAATATATACCTCTCAAGGGGGATGGATGGGGAGGTCAGCTTTCAATAAAGGTTTCTACCCTAGAATTACAAGGAAACCTGCCTCTGGATTCGCATGTTCTGAAAAATGCATTGCAACGGAAACGCATGAGCTATCTTGCCTTCACTTCTAGTAATTATTTCGTGGATTCTACGGAGTATGTGCTCAAATTCCATGGGTAACACACTTCTCTCATTACTGGCCCCCTTCAAGACATAGCCCAAAAGGGAGTCCGATATCTAAAAGCAGACTCTGGACGGAATACGATCTAGGAAATGCTCATGTTCATGCTCCGCGACCAGCTCCACGACCAGCTCCGGGGGGTGCCCCAGGAGCACCATCACCTCCCATCATGTTTCGTGCCCTATGATCGTTAGTAATTGACCCCGAGAGATTTTGAATAGGATGCAATTGAGTATCACTTACATCTCAGCAATGCTTGGATCTTGCATTAATGCTGATAGATCTGGCATTCCACCAGCACCCCCACCCCCACCTGGTGCTCCTCCAGCTCCACCACCAAATTGGTTGGCCATCTCACGAAGTCTTGGGTTGTTCATGATATTACTCATCATATCTGGGTTGCTCATAAGATTCTGTGCCATGCTCGCAAACATAGGATTGCTCATGATAGAGCTAAGATCAGGCATTCCACCAGCTCCGGCTCCACCTCCGCCGAACATACCTGCAAGTGCAGACAAGTCGGGCATTCCCCCACGACCACCAGGTCCTCCAGCACCTCGATCTACGACCTGATCATCGTCGGAACCTGCCTCATCCAATGCGACCTTCTTCTTTGCAGTCTCGTAGCCCTTCTTCATCGCCTCACTACCACCATTTCCTTCGTATTCAATACCCTTGCCGTAGGCCTCCATACTTCCGGGAGCATCACCCAAAGCATATCTCGCCAGACCAAGACGACTCCATGCCTTGGTGTATGTTGGATCGGCTGCGACGGCTGCCTCAGCATCTGCGCGGGCGGATTCGTGGTCCTTGGAAGCAGAGTGGGCTGCTGCGCGGTTGGAGAGGAATATTGGGTTCCCTGGAATTATCGCTAGAGCTTTGGTGTAGAAGTCCACAGCTGCGGTGTAATCCTTCTTTGCCATCGCGGCATTTCCTTGACTCTTCAACCCCTCCGCCTCGGATTTTTGGGCATCCGTCGGTGCAGGTTTGGTAGCTTTCTCGCCCGCAGCATTGGTTCCTGGCCCTGCTGGTGTCTTACCCTTGAGCTTCTCATATACTCCGTAAATTTGAAGGAGGTTTTGCGAGTCTTTGGGTGTCGCATCTGTGGGGTCTACTTTGAAGCATTCGGAGATGCAGTTTGCCGCAACATCAATAGAATCGCGGTCCTCTTCAGTGAGGGTGCCGTCAGTGAGAGAGGTGTTGAGAAAGTCGATAATCGACAGCGCGAGACGTTGCTTGGTGGTAGCCATCGTTGCGTATGGCTGTTGTTGGTGGAGGAAAGGAGGGGAAATTGGGGAATAATTATCAAGGTTGTACTCTACCAGAGAGGTGCTCTGTCCATGCACCATGGAACACTGAAAGTAATGCCTCGCTTAAAGCCTGACCCTGTAGCGGGGACCGCGGGGTAGTGAATTACCTAGGTACTCAGTAGTGAACTGAATGATGGATAAGTGGGCAAGCAAAACCAAACTTCTTGTCAAAACTGTGGCAAGTTATGGTTTATTGATCATTCATTGCAATTAGTCCTTGCATGTAATCTCAATCAACAGGTAGAGTCTTTAGCTTGGATGCTTACCTCAGGTAGGAATTCCAGAACGCAGCGCAAAATTGCTCGTTGAGCTCTTGAGCTTATGCTTTTACAAAGTGACTTGAAAGTTTAAAAGACAAACATCAGACGTTTCTCTGAAGGCGCAAGATTATCCATACTTCCCTTGGGTATGATTGAAGTTTACACGTATGCCAAGCAGCTAAATAATGCTACTCCGTACTTAACTTCCACAACCCATCTCCCAAATAGTGTCCTTCTTCAACAACTGGGCCCTTGCCTTTCTCCTTGACCTCCTTGGTACCCATACTCAGCAGACCAACAGCACATGGCTCCTCCTTTCCTTCAGCGCAAATGACCACTGGTTCTCCCGCTTCCAATTCGCGTCCTCCATACCATCCTCCTCCCTCTCTTCCTCCTTCTCCCACCTCCCCATCCCGAGTCTCCCCATACACACCCTTCTCCTCTGCATCTCCACTTGGCAGTCTTCCTCCCGTAGATGTTAAACCAGGTGCCATAAGTGTTGCGCCAGACAGGACAAATCGGATAGCACCTCGATCAATTCGGATACTTGGGAAACAGGTTGGGAATCGGTGGACGAGTTTGAGATGGGGAAGGAGGGCGTCGGTCATATGCTGGTAGAAGAGGGGCGTCGATCCGATCAGGTAGAGCGTTACTCTGTCAGGACTAAATAGCATTGTTAGGTATGTTTGCGCACATTGATCGTATAATGGGAGTAGAACACACATTTTCATAGCATCCAGCTGCTCTTTCTTGGGTATAATCTCATCGATATGAGGTGCGAGTAAAGGATATGTTGTTGTGATTTGCGTCCGAATTGCTCTCTGCACCGAGGACTTGACTTTGGATTTTGACCCTGGGGATATGCTACAAAGGATTGGTCAGTAAGCGTGTCGCATTCTAATTGGGGGCATCGTACTCTTTCTTGAACATCTTGAATGTATGTCGAAGGCAGAAATTTGTCTATCACTAGGAGATGACGTGTTGTAGATGTTTCCAAGGTTGCTTGTTACATGGAATTGTAGAGGGGCAGATTCGTCTTGGAATACAGCCCCTCCCCCTCTATTGGGCCGGCCGCGATAGACCACATGCGCAGCCAGGGGGGCTTGACGAGATTTGGTGAACGGTTACAGTACGGATCGGACGAACTCTCAACTTACAGAGTATAACCTTCATATTTTATCATTTGCTAAAATCATCTCCACATCATTAAGTCTTGAAATATGGGTTCTCTCGTCTGTGCTATGCGCACTACCTACCTCTCCTCATCAAGCCGTAACCACGGAGGTATTAAAAGACCCCCCTCGAACTTCGACCCTACCAAATCGCAGCTTAACGCTACAGAATGCTTTCTACCTTTCATTAATTACTCAAAAATTGGCACATTCGAAAATTTCCCAATACAAGTCGCGCATTGTTTGCATTGAATATCGAATGATTCTCGAAAGCTGTCATGAGCTCGTTAACAAATAAAGCACTTTGAAGCCATATCTAAGAGCCGATTTCTAGTACTTCAAATTATTAACACCAATTGAGCTCTAGAGGCTTGGAGATTATATAGAACTCAATTCATACGCTAAAGGTGTTGCCACATGGTTTCAGTAAACATGACAGCTCTCCGTTTCCCGCTGCAGCAAGTAGGGATTTGACTACCACCTAACCTTTCCAGACCTCCATTCCGGCATGTTTCCGCTATTAAAAGGCTAAAAATAAATTTGTCGCATAACACATACAGTGTATCTATCTAGTATAATACACAAGCTTATTAGAATCCCTTTACTCCCACTCTCGATCCTCCAGATCACAACTGTTAACTTACACTAATATCATGTAATAAGCGAGCCTACCTGGCCTAGACCACACTTCTCCCCAAACCGACATTACAAGCCCCTCACTTTTCCGCTTTAAGTCGTCTGCATCGCTCTCTCTCTCAACTGAGTTTAAACGTTTCATATCTATACTGAGATTTTAACCCATATAAGAAGTGGCCTAATCACCTCTAGTAGACTAACACTTGATCAAATGTATATTGGATCTCGTTCCATCGTGTTTATAACCCAAAAATCTCGAGGCCTTGACTGACCTGCACCAAACATAAACTGTCTGCTGAATATCATGTACCATAATAGTGGATCTCTCCACTCATCTAATCTCATGTATCTATATAAGTAGGGGAGTATCCCCCTAAGGGATACTCAAGCAATATAATATAGGTTCCACTTACTATACCTTTCGACACTGTCCAGTGATTGTGTTCACTAGTAAATGCCACGCCTATAAGATAATCGGAAGATGACTCTTATACTATCCGGTCTATTAAGAAAAAAGCCTCGAACCTCCACATGGCACAAATGATTGGCAAGGCGTATTTGTGGTGAACTGTACTTCAACCAGCTTGGTGTATGATAATGTTGCCTTGATTATGTACCTGCGTATAATCAATGTGTACGCGAACGAACACCTAAGAATCCAAGATACCATTTCTTCGTAGATGGAAGAAAAATATAATTCACTCCAGTGCACAAGGAGATGAATACTCTGATTGCTCAATGGGTCACACCACTGTTGATCGGTTTAACCAACAGGCTTTGAATACCTACACTACTACGGATTATAATGCTATGTAGTCTGATTTTGGAGGTGACTTGTAATTCAAAGTAGAAATTGTATATACGGAGAGAACAAAATTGACTGGAATAGAGTGATTTTCTTGATTATCAGCCTTAAATCTTTTCGAAGCCTAGATACTCGCAAATTATCCCTCACAACTAACCCATCTCACCATCCCAAGAGAGGGGACACGAATCACTACCTACCTACCCACCAACCTACCTACCTATAATCCCCTCAAAAACTAGAATTGAAGGCTCTATTTCTCATCCACCTCAAATGAAAATCAGGAGCAAACTTCGAATAGAGGAAATTCCAAGTAGTCTAATCCAACCTTCAATAGCGACGAAAGCCAGGGTACCGAATCCATGAATAGTGAACAAAATACATTGTGATGCATACGAATGGATATGACGCATACAAAGACAAGAAGCTCCCACCGACGTTTATATCGACAAATAACATCTCCTCCTCCCAGCAAATTAATAGAAATGGTCAAGTGGAGGGGCCACTGATATTGCGAGATAAACCAACTTCCCGAACTCAAAGAGAAAAAGGGATGTAGGGATGCAGATTTAGTCCGAGCCCTGAGCTTGTTTTTTGCTATTTTTGGGGTATTTTTTGGGGGGTGAGTATGTGGTGCTTAAGTTGAGATTTGATATTCTAGGTTGAGGTTGAGGTTGAAATGTGGATGAGGGGATGCGGGAGTAGGGGAGTGAATAGGTGCGGAGACGCGTCTTCGCTTATAGTAATTAATCATCGTAATTGTCTGCCCCTCCCTCCTTCCTCCCCTCTCTAGAATCCCCCAAAACACATCTACAAATCCCTACACCCTAATCATCATACCCAATCCCCAACCCCCCGGGACAATTCGGCATATCCCGCTGCCAATACTTCTTCACAAAAAGCGGCAGATAACTCTGTGTCGTAAACTCCTTGGGCATATACAACTGCACATCCGCTATACTACCATCCCACTCCAAACTCTTCAGAGCAGCCACGACATCCCTCGCCACAAAATCCACAAACACCAGATCCACCGTCGTCGGATCCGTTCCATCGGTAGGGAACGAGCCATTCCCCTGGATCACATTGGGGCGTGGGAACGCGGGGATCTGGGAATGCGGGGTGTCGTCGCCGTCGGTGCCGAAGTCGTCGGTGGTTGTGTAGCCTGGTGTCACAATCTTTTGACGGCGTGTGATTGGCATGCGTTTTTGGAGGGGGGTGTGTGGGATGATGGGGTCTTCGCAGGTGTCTTTGCTTTGGGGGAGGGCTTGGGGGAGGGGCATGGATCCCCAGCGGGGGGTGGGAGTGCGTTTTATTGGTCTCCCAGCGTTGAGGAAGGGGAGCACTAAGCGAGCTAGGTTGTAGGGTATGGAGGGGATGTATCTGTGATGTATTTCATTAGCCTTACTTATCTTAGTCCAAGAGAGAAGTACGTACTGAAAGTTATTCTTGAACGGACTGACAATGAAAGAATCATCGTAAGTAAAAGGTCCCTTGACAAGATCATATCGAACACCACCAGTCTGCAAGAGAATCAACCGAGGGATCGTTTCTCTTGCGGGATTGATGACAGTAGCCCCAACCGCCACAGGAAGGAGACTGTAAATATTCCCCGGATCACCGATTGGTTTGCAAGAGATACAGTAAGTCCTCGGGGCACAGCCGTACAGAGTCGTAAGATTCTGATTCTTCCTGATTTCACTGATCTTCTTGGATACTCGGGTTCCACTGTGTAGATCAAAGGTCGAATTACTGCTCGTATCGAACGTGTTGTCTTGCGATCCGACGGCATGGTAGGCGAAGGTCCTTCTATTCCAGTCAAGATAACGACGGGAATATACCATGCTGGATGTCGAGGTATTGGTTGCTTTTCGAGTGGGATTTGGAACTCCTCGGGGTTTCATGTGTCCGTGGAATGAGGATGAATTAATGCCACTCATGGAAAGCCAACCAACCGTCTCACAATACCGTCCGGCTTCTATACCAGTGCTGATCTCATCATAAGTCGTAAAATCTCGGATATGTGTATGACCACCGAGGACTTGCACAGGAATATTTGGGCGAAGAGACCTAATCACGGAAAGGACGGTGCCAAAAGTGCTAACCGGATCACTTAGACGAACAGGATTATGACCGATCAAGATAAAAAGATCAATTGGTTGATCATAGTTGACTGCGTCGAGGAACCATTGCTGCTTAACCATATCTGCTGCTTTTGTCACTCTTGAGACATTGGAGTTGCGGTTGAAGTCGAAAAGGATTCCAAAGCTCATGATTCTGAGACCTGAATGTGTTCAATTAGCATGGGCAGGAAAATCATAGGGGAATTAACAATTACCTTGAGCGGTTGTGAAGTAGCGATACTTGTTTCCAATGTATGCATACTGGTTAGTGTCAGGATTTAGAATCTGAACATTGGAAGTCAGATATTTCTCGCCATACGACTTGCTGAAATTTGCAAAACTGGGGAGTATTAGCAACTGTATAACGGTACTTGAGTAGAGAAGTGCTAGAGCTTACGTTTCATAGGCAATTTCGGTCACGTATAGTTCATGGTTTCCTAGAAATCAAGTGTCAGGTTATATATAGATTGGTTCGGGCGTTGGCATACCAATAGTAAGTATATCGTAATCGACCTCTTGATGAATGGGATTGGAAAGCAGCCCATTAGGAGAAGTAGAATCACTAAGTCCATTCCCATCATGAAGATCTCCCGTATCAACCAACAGTAGGTCAACACCCAACCGTCCAGCTTTATGCCTCATGTGTTTTACAAAAGAGACGAAGTCTCCCCAATCCGCTCCATAATTCTGCTCTTTGATATGACCCTCAAGCCAGCCGTGAGTATCAGTCTAAAAGCTGTCAGCCCCAGATCTAGACAGCTTGCTTCATAGGACCAGAAAACAACTCACTGTCTGTATGAAATTCAATTGCCCCCACTCTAAAGGTCCTCTGGGACCAGACTGAGCAGGGGTCGCTCCTGGTTGCAGTCGACGGACATGACGTTCGTGGATAACTTCTTTGGCACTATCGCATGAATTGCAAGCTAAAGCGAATGGAACTACCGCAACGAGCGGGAAGAGAAATGAGAACCTCATCTTGTTTTAATATATCGCCCATTGGCAGAGAGGGCTCGCGAAGAATAGTACCAATGCTCAAGAATGAAAGAATCGACCGTTGGGCTTTTAAACCTAAATTAACATGAAGGTACTAAAGAAAACGACTTGCGAAATCTCGGTACCTTCGCCAACCGATGGTTACTTCCGTAAATTTTAATAGGTTCTTCTTACATCCGACTCTCAGTAATACGTAAGACAAGTGTACGGTATTCAACATCCCCTTGGCTGTTCACCAACTTGAAGAAGTCGAGGGGTGACTTGTACGGCCAATCTAATTAGGTTTCGTAAAGCAAATATTCTGTGACCACCCTTGAAATTTTCAAGGTGCTTTTGTGGCCTCCTGTAATCGTTTCAAGAAAGGCGAACCAAAGATTGATCGTTGATCTTCATTTTTTCTGTTGGGTTGTGATACAATGGTGACGTAGAGGTTCAGAAGAGGAGATCTCGAGGGGTACTTGAACTACAAGAATCGCTCGTCGGTGTGCCCGTTCGTTCTCAATCGGAGAGGAGAGAGCTTGGTTGAATTGCTGAGCACGAACGGGATACAGAAATGACACAAGAACGGCTCGAGAAAAACGGTCATCGACTTATGACCTTGATCTAGGAAGGTTGTGTCCGTTTTCAAATTCGGCCCAAGGAAAATTGAGGGATCCTTTCTCGTAATGATATAAAAAGGTACACAGTTTCCTGCAGACTGAACTGGAGACTAGGTACAGGCAATGAGTACTAGGTAGAACCGGCAGGACCTTCCTAAATTAGAAACGAGAGGTCGCCTCGAAGTGTACTTAGTATTTCAACACCCGCTGAGCCTACCTCCTACCCGGGTATGCCTTGAACCTACCACGTCAGAGATACTGATCGATGGAATGGGCCAGTAGTACGCCTTCGTTGCTGGTTTCCTCTCATGGAAGTAAAACGTTACGGCGAGACGGGCACCGTCCGGTGAAGGAAGGAGCGTCTTAAGAAGCGGACAATTATTTTCTCGAAAGTCGGATTGTTGGAAGAAGCAGAGGCTTCTATCCGAGCTGTCTAGGATCTTGGACGGATGAGCCTGGGCCACTGCGGCTCCCTATCCTACTGGTCAATGTCCATTGAGGGCGTCGTTGAACTGGGAAGCTTTTTCTGCTTGCCAACTCGTGCCTCCTACGAGTCACCGCTCTCCTGCTCGATCGAATTGTGCACAATTGGAAGCCGATGGCGAACAAGAGGAGCCAGCACTTTGCCTCTTCCAGTGTCCCGTTGTGCCATTTTCCTGCCTCATTGCACTCAGTTGATAGACCCCTTTCTGCTCCATGCTCAAGCCAATCCATTTTGCACATAAAAACAAGAGTCGTGAGAACAGTGGAAATTTTAGAATTATAACAAAAAAATGTGGTTTAAATATAAAGTGCAGCCCTGAGAAAACGGGTATAACGCCACCGCTATAAAGGTAACAAACTTCTGCCAGCATGGGACTCCATGATAAATTGCTCCACCAGATTCTAGTGCACATATTCCACCACCTCCACCTACAATCTGTTGCCCGCACCGCCCTGAGCAGCATAATCGTTAGACCAATGTTGGCCGCCGGCACCACCCTGTTGTTCCAATCCATCAATTCCCTTGTGAAGCTTGATCTTAGGAGCATTAGATGGAATCGACGAAATATCTGCCTCGTTGTCGTTGCTCTCCCCTCCACCTCCAATTCTGTATGGCTTCGCAGTTTCGACGTCCTCCATCGCGCTCTTGTCACCTCCGAGTAGTGCTGCACGCTCTCGGGCCTCTCTCTTCGCCTTGCTCTTTTCGATTCGGGACATAGCGAAAAGGGATCCAATGGTGCCAACGAGGGCGATGGAGAACGCGAGGGAAACGACGAGACCACCAGTGGAAAGGTCATCTTTTCGGATCATGCAGACTCGGAGCGCGTTATCTGAAGCGTCGGCAAAGCAGATCATGGCAGGGTGGCAAGAGGAGGTGGTAATCGCTCCCTGGGAGCACTGCGAGCCAACGACAAGGCCAGCGGTATTGGTACTGGTCACACACACCTCCACGGAAGTGGTATCTGCGAAAGAACAGAGTCAGCAATGGATCCAAGCAGGGTGCGAAGGGAGCAGGACGTACATGTGGTAGAACAATTTGTGAGAGGGCCAGGACCGTCTTTGGCGCCTACAGGTTGCGCAGCTCCAGTTGGTGCTGCAGTGGTTTGGGCTTGACGGGGCATAACTTCAGCCCGTTTTCCACCATTTCCAGTTGGAATAGCCTCATTTCTCTTCAAATCCGGTCGTGGGCTGGCATGTGTTGATGTGCAACCGGCCACGAAGAAAGTGGCATCGTGTTCAGAGCAACCACTGTCCACAAAACATGGAAACACCTCATCCAACTTGAGCACATTGACTTTGTTGAGACATTCTGAGATCTGAGCCTGGTCACCACATGGATTGCTAGCGACCAATTCCTTGACGCTGAGTTGACCACACCGATTATCAGCAGCTGAAACGGCAGAGGCCGCTGCCAAAAAGCCCGTGGTGATGAAGGAGTAACGCATATTGGACGAAGGGTAGGTAGGGACCGTGAAATGGAACGGCGTTGAATCGACACGGCAAGAGAAGACCGCTTAGAGCAGAGAATGAATTGTGAAGCAAACGATCTGGCAGACGACAATAAAAGAAAAGGAGAGTAGGCGCCGATGCGGTGAATATACGGAGTACACCTCAAGCACTTCAGCCCCCATGCGGGTTTATTTTAAAACTTGGAGGCGAAGCTCATCAGACCAAAGGGGATAAGCTCGAGAATAAAAGGGGGGATTCTCCCCGATTGCTCGCTGTGATAGGATGGATTGGTGCGAATTTGCATTTGCGGGGCGCAACGTTGGCCCCGTACGATCGCCAAATGTCAGCCTGGCGTGGCTGGGCGAGGTTGCTGCAATTGTTTGTTTGATGTCGCTTGCCGAGTCCGATATTATTGAAAGGGGTGTTGAGATGTCGGGAGATGTATTATTACATAATTTTATACTTGAAGAAATCCCCAGTCATGAGCTGCTCCAGTTATTTGGTAGGAGAATGCAACAGGGAACAACATTTCTCGTCGGGTTGTTTACTTTCTCCACACGCGCGAAACCCCTCGGGATCCCCTAATTCCACATGAGTTCATGGATTGGTGCATTAGGGGGCTGCACAAGCAAGCGTATTGAATTTTTGGGCCGAGTAACGACTCAGCACTACTGGCAGTCTGGGGAAACCTATGAAGTGCTCTGTGATGGAGACGACACCTCCAGCTGAATCTACTAGAATATCTGACATAAATATGCTGTTATCCTGACAGGAGCTATGGTCAATCCGACCACCTGTCGTTCGGAATGTGTTGGGATGAACTTGGTAGGAATGACATGAAGGGGAAAAGCTTGGGCTTAGCTTCTGCCTATGCTCCTCATCCTTAGGTGTCCATCATATTTAGTCAACGTTGAAAAGATTCAAACGACTGACAAAATTCGAAATATTCTTTTGAGAAAGTTTTCAATAGGCTGGGAGGGGAGCTTTCTCATGTCAATTGGCGAAATCTAGATGGGATCAGCACTGCAAAAGCGGGACATCAGGACGCATATGAGAACCTTCAATGGTCCAGACCACACGGGAATAGTCTCGTGACCTAGAAACACTCTCTGTGGGAAAGAAGAAAGTGAATCCTTTTTAAACCTGGGCCATTTATTACTCTAGATATTTGGACTATTCAAAACAATCAACTGAAGCTTTTTGTTCTAGTATAGTAGTGTGTAAACTTCAAATGTATGTACCAATTTGCGCTAAGAGAAGGGAAAAGAATCTCTGCCAGTTTTCTTGTCCACCAGGAGCAGGTATTACTTACCTATGTATTAGTATAAACATTCCAAGTAGGTAGTTCAAGATAAAAAGCATCCTCATCGACTTTCTAAAAACAAGTCATTGGGCAGTGAAGAGAACCTTAAACCCCCAAAATCACGTGTCAAAATACGTCATCCCACGCCCCTCCTAAGCCCCGCCTTGAGACACATTCAGCTACCACCATATATCAACCCCTCCAACCGCATGTTCCCCTCCAAACCCACCCAACCCTCACTCCTCAACAGAATATCACTTCAACACCCATACACACCCTTTACAACCACCAAAACAACCTTCAAAATGCCTCTCGTCGTCCCTGGAATCACTTCGGAAGGTGGCGGCGACAAGACCCAGGAATGGAGCAACAAGTTGGTTGGCAAGAAACTTGGAGATGTTTCTGATGCTGTCGTATGCACTCTTTATATTCTTAAGGGGTTTGAGTAGATACTGATCTTATTGTAGACGTTTGCTAAAGCGGATCTTCCAAAGGAGACTCGTGTTATTACCAAGAATACTATGGTTACTAAGGATTTTCGACCGGATAGGTATGCACATCCCCAATCCACAAGTTCTGTTGAAGATAGAGGGGTGGTGCTGATTTGGATAGACTTAATGTCCATGTGAATGATGATGGGACGGTTTCGCATGTTAATCATCAGTAGAGTGGTTATGGGATAGGTGGATGGATGGGGAGTCGGATTGTGATTCTTACCTATTACCTACGATCACGTTTGCTTGGCTGTGTGATATACGAGTACTCGTACTCTGAGTGATCACAATTAGAACCCTTTTCCATCTCTGTTCTACTTGTGTGTCATTTTCTGCCCTTGTTTTGAAAGGATCTTTGGTATCTGCTCGATTTCTTCCACTTCATAACTCGGCGGACCATTTCTCTGTTGTGAAATAATTATAATTACTTTTCTGTCTATCAGGAGCAGCTGAGCAGGATCATATTTCTTTTTTCCCTAGACCGCTATTTGCATATCGCTTCTAATACGCCAGAACGGATACCGAGCTTTCTGCATGGAAGGGAGAAAATGTTCTACTGTGCAAGAACAGGATTCTCAACTATACAGTCTACTACCATGATGCATCCTTTGCAGAAATCATGGCAAGTAGACTTGCCCTCTGTTATACCAGTATATGAGGTGGAGTTTCTCATCATGCAGCTCAGCTGCATTATCCTATGGTGGTGCAACACTAAATTGCTCTATCTATCTTCACCAGAAGTATGATGATGATGAACAAGCTCTAGTTGTAGCCAGGAAATCTCTTGCTGTCGAAACTACTTCTATTGTCGATTTCGTCTCGTTCGGATTTTAAAATTTTTCTTACAACACAAAAGCCTGAAATGGATTCCTTGTAACTTCCCCGCTTGAAGCAAGCTTCAGCTTTGCCCTCGGAAATGTTTGATTATGTTTCTACGATAATGGTGGGTGACAAACAACAGCCTTACATATTGTTGGTGGTCGGCAAGTGGTCTGTGAATTCCGAATCTTAGGTACATGTGATTTATATAGCAGTGTCCGGGCAGCACGTTTCTAACAAGGAATACGGAGGATACGCCCGTCCCTCTTATGCTATAAAATTTAAATTACTCACTCATGCTAGACCTTCTTGGTTTTCATAATATAAAATACGTTTTCATTCCGCCTACTCGATCTATTTAAGTTAACGCTCTTTTTTGTTTGCTTTCAATAGAAGAATTAAACTTGTACTCATATATGAGTTCTATTAGTATTGCACTCAGGCCAAGCGGTCATCCACTATCTACTCTATTATACTTGAACTCTCTTTGGTTCAGCTTACTCTATAGCATGGGGGAGAGATACCAACCAGATACAGTCATGACTCAGACTAAAGTCACCAGACAGAATATATATTCAATCGGGTCACCCTTCCAAAATCACCGCGCGATACATGGCAACAGGATAAAACACCTGCTGCCTTCTCGTGGGCTCCTGGGTATAGATAGTCCGTCATTCATACTGTACTTCCAAGTCCTAAATCAACTCTAAGCTACTCAAATATAACCCGCTACGCTTCAAATGCTCTGGTATACAATTATGGATATGCCCATACCGAATTCTCACCCGAATTCGACAGTGAGTTCATGAACGACAGCAAATGCACTCACTTCGAAATTTTGTGCTCACTTCTGGACTGTGTTCACAGCACGAAAAGAGATAGGGCTCTTGGTCTATCTTGGTACTCCTTTTTGAACTTCCTTCGCAGTCGCCTATGTCCTGGTGCCATCCTTCCATTCTCCGCTTGTTTGAAGATGATCGTTGGCAATTTTGCGTGATATTCCGAATACGTCGCGTTGGAAGTGCGTATATATGCAGCGGAGAACCATTTCACCAGTTCCCGTTATCTCCTGCTTGCCTTAAAGGCAAATAATTACGGTATGGCTCAAGAGATATGATCGTGATCTCATTTTCATGAGTGTTCAGACCCAAGTCTTTTCGTCAGTTGTGGTCAGATCCAGCAATTCTCTGTGTTGATCAGAGTTGGGAAGACTAATCTTCTTCAGTGGGCAATCCTCGACCTTTGCAAAAAGTCGTTTTCATACCAGGTACTGAGCTTCTGCTTCTGACCAACGGTAGCCACGAACGTCTTTGGGAGCCTCCTGTAATGCAGTGGTCTGAAATATGTACGTCGCACCTCTTTTGAGTTTGAAATGGTTATGTCAAATGTGAGCGCAAAGAATGATTGACACATCTTCCTAAAGGTATCATGGTACAACTGATTGACTGCTGATGTCTCCATTGTGGATGGTGTCTAAAATAGTCAGAGTTCACCTCTGGTGATAAGAGTCTTTGACTTTCTGGGTTATCTTCATTTCCAACCGAACTCACGATTATTATTCCTGATTTATACAGCAGCAGCAATGTGTGACTAGAAATAATTGGAAGCCAATACCATCCAAGCCCAAAGATTAGGGCACAAGGCGATAGATTGGCCAAGCTACAACTAACGCAATGCCATCTTTGCAAAGGGTCAAGAGTCGAATGCCAAAACGCCTTCGAAAATGGTCCAAGATTGGGGGGTTGAGATGGCACTTCACAGTACCAGAAACCAAGAAGATGCCGTGGGATAGTAAATGGAAAAATGAAATATTTCCGTGATCATACATGGTCAGGCGAGTCAATGTGAATAGAGCCCGCAACGGAAAGGGAAGAGATTTCATTTATTGTCGAAAGCACATCTGCTGTCAATCATATGCCAAGCTCATGTTCGATGATTCTGATTTACCATAGCTTCACTACCGTGTTCCACCCTTTCTCATATTATGGAACTCAAGCCCTCGACTAGACTCTGAGAAAATTTGTGTTTGTGCCCAGAAGCGTTCCTTGACCAATAGCAATTTTGATGCTGGAGAATATTTCTTAACCGCAAGTATCACATAACTTCGGAGCAGGATCGAGTTTTAAGCCGGGGGAGAGGGGTTGGGGATTAGCTGTGGTAGCAATACCCACCAAGATTCGATCAAAATGCAAGGCCTACAGAGTTAAGTCAAGCAGATTTGTCTTACCCACATACATATTCTGCCGCTTTTGGTGATGATGTTTCTCTCTTCCAGCTACGGCTATACGCCTGCTGCTACTTTCAAGTTGTACCATATCTATTACCCTGATTGTAGGACCATGAGAACTAGTCAGCGATCCACAGACATTGATTACTAACGTAAATCTTTCTATCTCTCTTAATACGTAGGTAAGAGTAAATGCGAGTGATCTGGGAGAATATGTTAGATTACACCAAAGACACGTTCGTAGCCAATTGTGTTTTGGTCAATAGCTCTTCCAGACGCAAGTAAAGGCTCAGCCATATCTCATTAAGACGCATAGACCAAATGAAATGGCAGGTCCCAGCCCTAGCACGTGACCCGCCCTTACCATTCACCCAGCCTCCAATCTCATTTATATTCAGAAATAAGGCTTCTCAGTTCATCCAACAAGAGATCGATGTGAGCGGCTCTGCAAAAGCTCAGTCGGTTAGCCCTTGATGGCCAGCCATAAAAAAACACAGGTAATGCTGTGTTCAACCCGTGCGGCCACCTTCCCTGATGTTGGAAGGAAGTCTGGGATTTTTTTGCCGTTTCTATCTGTGGTATTTTCTTGAATAGGGATCTTTTTGGTCTTTTCTTTTTTGGAGGATGTGGAAGAGGTAAATTAAGCGATGCGGATTGTTGGCCCAAGCGTCGAGTTGAGTTGAGGTTTAGCTTCTTAGCGCGATGTTTTGCTTTGAAGAGTCATCGACCAGATTCAGCTATTGAGCACCCCAGATTTGGGTGTTCTTTGGGTTCTTGTCTGTCATGAGGAGCTCTCTGCATACCGATGTACCCTAGTGAGAAAAGTGCTGCCTTGGCCCCTTACAAAGATGGGATCTTCTAGGATTGAATAACAAGATCATTGGGTGGTGAAAGTAGAGTCTTTCATCTGAAGACAGGACTTGTGCGTGATCTAGAGGAAGACCTCAAAGCTATCAAAGTGGGTTGGGTATGAATCACAAAAACTCTCACGCCTCTCTTCTATACAGAGTCGAAGTCTCTTGAGGATGTAAGATTTTACCATTCATATTTTATCCTATCACATCCCTCCTTAACCCACCATACTCAGCTCGAACCCCATCCAAATAATCCACCAACTCCAAGAAATTCATACACTCCATCATACTCAATCTCTCCTCCTTCGACATGAGTGTCACCCCCCTTTGACTTCTATCGCTCCCCACCATCTCACTAATATGATGAACGACCAACTTGAACGGGATTGGAGCAATAGCAACTTTGTTCATAAAAGTCTCCACCATTTCCCAAGTACATCCATTCCGACCTTTTTCAGAGAATAGCCCTGGATTTTGTAGAATCCCTCGTGCGGACATGACACCATCCACACCCATTTCTTTGGCGTGTGAGATGGCGCCCGACAGAGAGAAAATGTCTGCGTTGGAGATTGTGGGCACGGTTGTTATTGAAGCGAGAAGCTTGAGTGCTTCCATGTTGGCTGGAACGGATGAGAGTGTTGATCGGAGACGGGGGTGGATGGTGATGACTTTGACCCGTCAGCCATGACACGAAAATACAGGATGAAAGCAGGATATACAATCAGCACCTGCTTCTTCAACCGTCTTTATGAAGTCCACTGTTTCTCTGAGATCTTTGTGAATTCTAATTTTGACCGATACCGTCTTCTTCCCTTTATAACCTTCGGTCTCTACACTTTCATCAGCACCACGGAAAGCACATTTCCCGCAGGATCCAAATACCTAAAGCCCCTTTCGCAGCTCGAATCATACTCGCAACCAATTCCCTCTCATGCATCAAGGCAGCACCTATTTTCTCAGCACAAGCCCATGATTGCGGACACCCACAATTAATATCCACTCCGTTAACATAAGGAGCAACCAGGGAAGTAGCACAAGAAAGCTCCAGAGGCGAGTTACAACCAAACTGGACGATCGTCCCAGGCTGAGAAGGTGAGAGCGTGAAGTCTAATGCAAATCAGTAAACTTCCTCCTATTTCCTTTGAATATCACTGGGTTGAAGAACTTACCACTGTCACGTGCCAGCATAGACCGATTGAATTCTTTGGCTAGGATCTATTTGAAATGAGATGAAATGAGATTCAAATCGTCGAATGAAGCATCTGAGAGAGGTTCGACAAACCATAGGTGTCCAAGCAATATCAACACCATATTCCCCGACCGTTTGTCGAAAAGCTAGCTGGGGCGTTTTCGTCAGTTCCGCCCCCACAGTCTTCAATGAGACACATACCTTGCTATATCGCACCATAGGAGCACACGTATACAGAGGTCTTCCCTCAGATTTCGCAATATCAAAGAGTTTGAGAGGACTGTCATGGTGTTAGTTCTCGAACGGACTCTGAGTCACGCGCGTACTTGAGGTCAAGGGAAGGGGGGAGAGGCTGGGCCTCTCCTTCTCCATCGGGATCTACAATATTGGGCATCTCGATATGTGAGAGTATGAGAATGGAGCATTTTTATGTTGAGGGTGAGGGCTTCATGGTGAGAATCTGTCAAATTGGGTGGGGTGTACGTTGAAGGCTTGGCATGAAGAAGAGTTTTGATCGTGAGATCTGAGCATTGTGAGGATTTAATGAACCATGAAACGACGAAGATTTCGTGTTGCAAAACTCGCATTTATTTGCTGATAGAAGATTTCAACAGCAACTTAACTTTTGTTTGATTTTTGGATCATACCCTGACCCAATTTCCCATCATTGAAATTTTGGTAGAGTGCTACACAAATGAATATCTTAATCCATTAAACAAGATGCTGACCCCAAGGCTCTCAGTCTCTGATTCTCTGTTCCAAAATGTCATATTTCAAAATGGCTAGGTCATGCCACTCCAAGAATTGCATTTCCATCATCCAGGAATCCAGCAGAAACCCTCCTCCCTTTGTGACTATGTCTCCCAAAACGCCATTCACCCCAAAATTCCTGACAAAGAGAACGCCATTCTTCACGTTTCACGAGTGAGTATATGAATTAAACGCTTTCCACTCACCTCATCATTGTGCCGACCCATCATCCCTAACATCAATCAAATCAACACATCCAAAATGGTGCAACAAAAGCCCTTCTCCTCTCGCTCTTCGCAGCGACAACCTCACTCGCTACACCATTGACATCCCAAGAAAGAACCCAATGGCAAGGAATTGAGAAATCTTCAGCATTAACGCCTCCACGAGCTATCACAGCGCATCAGCAAGAACCGACTTCCCTGCTAGAAAACCTGATGCGCCCAAAAACCTCAAGACTTCACGATTCCACGAGTAAAAAATCAATCATCTGGATCCCACTCCATAGCAGTACGTCCCGCACTCATCCCCATCCCCATCCACCCCCATAACCTACTCAAAAAACACACCACCTAACAAACCCCCCAGATCCCCAACACCCCCCAGAAAAACAAACCCAAACACCAACCCATCAACCCCGACGACCCACCACCCTAAGCGAAGAAATAGAAGCGTAACAGACCCCGAACCCAAGAACCACACACCCTGTCCGCGGATCCTCGCGTTACATAGGAAATTAGCACAGAAAATGTTTGTGGCGCAGGAGAAGAGGCTGATTCGGATTGGGAAGGGGAGGGTGGTGTGGGCGGTTTTGAGGGAGGGGAGGTGGGTTGTTGATGAGGGGGTGAGGGGGGAGGGTGTTCTTGGTGATGGTTTTGGGAGGAGAGAGGGAGGGAGGAGNGGAAGGGGAGGGTGGTGTGGGCGGTTTTGAGGGAGGGGAGGTGGGTTGTTGATGAGGGGGTGAGGGGGGAGGGTGTTCTTGGTGATGGTTTTGGGAGGAGAGAGGGAGGGAGGAGGAATGGGGATGAGCGTGTGGGGGAGCTGTGAGAAGATTGTTTGGGGATGGAGAGGGTTTGGAGGGTGGGAGATTAAGGTGCGCTGGGAGGGGTTGTGGGATATGAGTGTTTCTAGAAAAGTTGTAGATAATATGATGAAGTAGCGAGCAATGATGAACGAATTTAATGAAATGAAACTTATGTAAGATTACGTTCTCGAAATCTGGCTTGCTTTAGGGACCTCGCAATAAGAGATCTGGACCTAGGTATGAGCATACAGAGGTAGTGTGGGTCTGGAGAAGCCATTGGACAATGAACTTAGGGCCTGTTTGGCTCGCACATTTTTTAAATATACGCCATATAAAAAGATTTGCATACATATTAGTATATGCGAGGGTGTTTGGTTAGCCGCACATCTAAATTATAAATTCATCATAAATTAGATGCATATCTATTTGCACTTCTTTTTAGATATGCACCACCAAAATAAAGATATAAAAGTTATGAGACCCAAAACCCCAACGATTTCTTGTGCACGCTCGCATATCCTTCGATTTATCATTCTACTACTATACTATAGCCTACCAGTATTCAAATCTACCCCTCTACAGTACTACCCCCTCCCTAACCCCCCTCCCTATGCCACCAATATGGCGTCCCTGTTATAGTAATAGTAGAGTACGTATCCCCTGTCTACTATATCACGCCTTTACGTTATATGTATCTATAAATTAGCCGAGTTTTTGTGCCTTTGTTGTTATTATAGAAGATATACTAGGAAACATAGGATGTAGAATGTGGGGGGTAGGGGGTGGGAGTAGGGGGTGGGGGTGGGNGTGGGGGTGGGGGAGGCAACGGTGCGATACTACTAAGCAGGGATTCCTTTACAAAATTAACAAATATATATAAAACCTAAAAAAACTTATGCTACGAGCCAAACAGTAGTGCATTTGTTTCGTCAGATTAGTACAAATTGCATACAAAACAAGAAAGATATGCACAGGGTCTTGGGGTTATAGAAAAAGTGGTAAAGTTTCGAATTTGCACCTAATATTCACGCCCGACTTATGCGAGCCAAACAGGCCTTTAATGGCTTCAGCTTACAGTAGTAGTAAACGACCAACCAACGTCATCAAATCATAAATTCAGTCACACGAGAGCAAACACGCCAGCACGAAACAAGGGAATAAAACGCCCGTCAGGTAAAATCAACGTATTAATTCCTCTACTCAAGGCTCAGACTCTATCTACCACCCAACCACCCCGAGTCCGTCCCTCAAAGAACTCCATAGGTACAAATGAACCAGCGAATTCAAGATATCATCATGCTGAATAGATATCCCCTCTCTCCGCCTGTGCTGAAATCTGATAATTCCCTTCGAGAGTTTTTAGCGCAACCAAACATATTTTGTCCATGATTTGTTGCCCCTCCCTGGTTCCCATTTTGGTATGTGTCTTTCAGCCGTGTTGTATGCAGTATCATTTTTTATATGCAGAGCTGTTGATGAATGCCAGGAGAGAGAATAACATGCAGAGGAGCTCAGATCGAATCCTCTCATGTGGATCTCCACACGAGAGGAGGATAGGAGAAGACAAGGGAAAGTCGAAAAAGATTTATGCTGTGTGATGGAATGCTTCTCACTCCATACCCTCATATTATGAAATCAAGACGTAACGTGTCTCGCCACAAACGCTCCTTATATGTGAAAAGAAACTATTTTTTGCTCTCCGTCTGCAATAATACTCAAACAATATTGGCCATAGCCAGCCTCGATGCCATTCGAGCTATCGCGCCAGAACTCCTCGCCAAAAACAAAGCCGGAAATTGTCTATCCACAGGCCGATGATCAAATAAGGGAACGCTGAAATGATGCATGAAGGACAAAGTAGAACTGAGAAACTGCATCTACGCAGGAATATCTTCATCATCGCTATCATCATCAGAAGATAACTCGACGATTTGTGGGGGGGCTTTTGCTAGTGGTGCTTTCTCGGTCGTTGGAACAACATCGTCGACGCCTGGAGCAGCAGAAACCGATACTCCGCCCATTGCAGTATCGGATGTGCTGCTGCTAGGGGTAGAATTCCGGGAGGTAGCGCCGACCTGTTTGCCGTTCTTTGCCGCTTGAATAGCTGCTTGAGCACTTCCAGCGGGATGAGAACTTGCACTACCAGGACGCGAGTCGGAGGACAGATTAGAAGCAGATGGAGCATAAGGAGTTCGATAGGAATTGCCGTTAGAAGAACCGCCTTGTTTTGCGAATCCATTCTGTGGAGGACCTGGAGAAGGACGTGCGGCGCCTTCGTCTTCAGTCAGACTACCACGACGGCGTTTTTGAGCTGCCGCAAATGTTGTTGGGGTCATCTGGTTCTGTGGGTTATACCGAGTATTTCTAGAATCGCGACGGACCAACACCCCAAATCCCTCGGGCGTATCTTGTTCTGACGAGCGGCGAGAAGTCGAGGTCGATAAACGAGAGGTGGGATGACCTGAAGCTGGGTGTGAAGAGCTGAAGCCGTGTGGAGCAGGAATACTGGGGCGAGGTTGATTGCTGTTTGCTGTTGCAAGGTAGGGAGAGCCATAATCCGATAAAGGACTTGGAGCAGCACGAGTGGCATTAATAGGCGAGAACCCGGTTGGGGCGCTCACAATCGTGTTGATAGGCGAGAATCCGGATGCTGGCGCAACTGAGTTCTGTGGGGTTGAATCCTCTGATCGAAGCCTGTTATTCATTGAAGCCTTTTGGGCTAACTTGTCTCTCTCCCTCAAACGAAGACTAACTCCATATCTTCTGCGGATAGTACTCTTCTTCGAAGCAAGCCCATTCTTCAAGGAAACTAGCCTTGAGGACCTCTCTGGCTCATCCAAACTTTCAGCTTGCTGTCTTGCTACTTCATATTTTGAATCCTCGGCAGCAAGCTCACTGTCAAGCTGGGCGAGCTTCTCAGGAGGAAGCTCAGATGGAGATTGCCGGATATCTGTTCGAGGAGCCTGTGTTCTAGTACCCGGTGTTCTGCTGCGCGGGGTGCTAGGATGAGGAACGCCAGAACCAGGAGTATTGAAAGGCTGGTGTGCCGCAGGATTTGGTCCACTCGTGGAACCGTTGATTGAGTTTTCAGCATTGAAGGAACCATTCGTTGATGGGGTATTGGATCCAATGATTGCTGTGTTTGAATGTACCGGAGCGGCAACTGGGGGGGTTGCAGTGCTTGGTGTACGTAGTGGAGGTCTTTGAATCGTTCCAGGTCTCACATTGATCGGCTGTGAAGCTACTACTGAGCTATTGACTACAGGTTGGCTGCTTACTGGGGTGTGCAACGGTGGTCTTGTGATTGTAGGAACAGGTGCTGGTGGGGGTCCTGGAAATGGAGCTGCATAACTAGGTACTGCCGGGGGCGTCGGCACCGATGAAGGAACCGTACCGGCTTGGAAGTTGGTTTGGGGAGTAGAAGAAGCGAGCAGTGGCGTGGTGGGAGGAATATCGCATGTTTCACAGACACCCTTCAGATTATGGTACTCTCGCCCCTGCTTAGTTGTAAATCCTTGGAAGCAAAACTCGCAAGTCCACTTCCAGCCAGTCGCAGGAGGTTCCTTGGTGCACACTTTCTTCAGATGGTGATAGTTGAATCCCGAGACATGATCAAAAGTTCTGCTGCAGTAATTGCAAACCATGCGTCCTCCTGGAGCAGGGAGAACTGGCTGAAGAGCAGGAGGAGGTGGGTGTTGAGGAGGTGGTTGTTGTGGAACGGATTGTTGTGGAAGTGGCTGCTGAGGAGCGTGGCCAGGAGATGGCAGTGGATTATGAGGAGGTGGTGGTTGATTATTGGGAGGTGGTGGTGCTCTGAAAGCTGGAGGTGCTGGCGGAGGTGGTCGAGGGAAGCCATTTGGGGTAGGATGAGAATCCATCATAACCACATCGTTGGCATTATTGTGAGTGTCTGGGTGCACCCAACCATTGATTTCCATAATATCATTCTCAGAGTACCCCAATCGTCTTCCTTTTGCGAGCCAATTGAGGAGCACCTTGGCATCAACCTCTCTGATTCTATCAGCACATAGTTGGTCAACAAGTTCCTTACTACCAAGAATTTGGCTAGCGACAACGTCACTCTTCACGGCGGCTTTCAGGATATTGCCTTTGAACAGATTACCGTCCTTTGAGACCCGCTCCATCACCGAAAAATTGCAGTTCTTCAACAGAGCTCGCAGTACGAAAATCACATGCATATCGTCAACGTCCTCGAATAAAAACTTTCGCCAGTTTTTATGTAGAATGTGTCTGGCTGCTTCTGGGGATGCCTCGTCCACAGCTTCCTGTAGTCGAGCCATTTCCTTTTCAACCTTGACCGACGGCGGTCCTTTCTTAGCAGAAGCCAATACGCTCATCGTGGATACGCTGCTGAGATCACGAATTGCGCGAGGCTCATGAGAATTGGTTGGTCCAGATGCAGAGGCTTCACCATTGATCTGCTTGTTGCTGACTTCTGGTTTGGCCGAAGCGGGGCCTTCTGTCGTCTTGCCATCATTTTCTAGCGTTGAGGTTTCTGTTTCACGAATTCCGTTGGCTTCTTCTTTTGGTTCATCTTGGGTTTTTGTTCCATTGACTTGGGGTGCAATGACTGCGATTGCAGGGGCATCGCTATCGACCATCATGTGATCAGAGTCGTCCACTTTTTCACGTGGTTCACTGTGGCTATGGGCTGCACCTGCACCTGCACCAGCAATTCCATTTTCTTTTGGCGTCGTCGCGACCGGCTCAGCTGTCGCGTCACCAGCGCCTGCATTCTCCATTTCGTGATCAGACATCCTGCGTACAATGCATGTGCCCTTGATTGTGCCAAGGAGCCGCAATGTGAAGGTGCAAATCTGGAAGGAATGTGGTGATGGAAGTGGATGCGATTAAAAGTGATTCCTGTCGCGCGACAATAAAATAGGGGACAGAAAAAGGAGGCGGAGTCTCAGAAAGTGTGCGATGGTGAAACCTGGTGACGGAAAAAATAATGTTAGTCAATTAATTCCCTTAATAGTAAATGCAAATGGAACGCCGATGCATCGCATCAAATTGCGGAAAAAATAATAAAAGGCATCGTATAGTGCGCGCATCTCGAAAAGGCAAAAAGAAAAAGGGAGGTAGGCGCATACTGGAGGGCGCATCAATTCATGACTCGGTGCATCACTATATGTGTGTGCAGAGTAGTGCAGTGTAAAGCGTAGTGTAGTGTGGTGTAGTGTAGCGCTACTTGGAATGTGACTGGTGCATACGCGTTGCGTTGCTGGAAAGCGTGCGGAGAGTGAGTCTCGAGGCGAAGGGGGGTAAGTGTAAGTGTGTGTGTAAGTAACAAAGAAAAAAGAGGAATGAAGGAGGGCACAGGGATTTATAGAGTGCTATGGTAATAAGACAGGAGACTAGCTTATAAAAGTCAAACCACGCTAGCGAGCGAGCCAGTGTAATGCGCTAAGAATAGCATTATACCCACTTAGGCAATAAATCCTTGGCGGGTCTTTTATGAAATAATGAAAAAGCCAGTGTTTGACGAGAAGTGATGAAGCGAGATGAGAGTGAGCAATAGATGTCCGCCAATCAACAACCCTGCTGGTGCACAAAAAAGTGCGCTAAGCAGGCATATGAAAGTGGCAATCCCTCTCGGCGGCCCGATGAGATGCGGTCAGGTGATAGAGAGTGAAGTTCGGTAAAGGTAAGTGCGAGACTTATCGCTAGCGTAAAGGCTGAATTGAGATTGGAAGTGATACGAAATCAATGGTGTCCTCCGTGGTCCCGATAACACAGAGAGCGAATGGGTGGGGTTGGCAGACACATAGCCTAGGAAGTATTGTGTAGGAGAGTAGGAGGGACTATGCTTACCCTTGAAAGTGAAAAGGGATGAGATTGCACCTGCAAGGGCGAGGTGAGGTTGTAGCTGGCAGATCGAGGACCGGGTGTGGTGTTGTGTTGTGTTGGGTGTTGGCTGAGGGGGTAGGCGCGACCGTTGATAGCGATGCTTTCTATAAAAGGCAGTTAGCGATTCAATTCATCGCAATATAGGCACGCGATGATACCTTTCAATGAGTCGCGAGCCAAGAACGCGTTGGAGGAAGCTTGATGCCTAAAAAAGGTGTTGTGGATGGTTGATTAAATTTGATTAAAAAGAAAGTCAAAGCGCAAGAGTGAAATTCCCCGTTTTAGCGTTCTTAAGCTAAGCCGCTTTAGGGCAGGAAGCGACCCACTTATCGTCGTCGGAACTCGGCCAGTAAAAAAGTCGCTTACGCTTTGAAAGCTCAGACTGACTTATGTAATCAATTTATATCAGACTTTAGTTTCAACTTATCTTATCTGTGGCAAAAGATTCTAATAAGAGGATCAGAGTATTGATTAATGTGTGGAAAGGGGGTTTAAGAAGTCTTGGATACGAGATTATGTACTGGTAGTTGTTTGAGTTTGTGTTTGCAAGGATGGGTCTTTAGAAATACTCAGTATTAATAGTAGCTACAAGAAAACGTATTTGTATCAACTCGCGAAACTTTCCAAATTAAGAACACCCTAAAGGAAAAAATATTTCCTAAACAAGTGTCTTCAATCAGTGCAAGTGAAAATAGGCGAGATGTTGACAAGACTCAAACTGCAGGCGAAGCTCTAAGAGGCACGTAATTTGAAATGCCACCAAAAGGTACATCTAGAAGCGATCTCAAAAATGAAGGTGAGGGAAATAGTCCAGTGTCTATTTTGTAGACAACAAAGAACCTCAAGTGTTCTAAGAACAAACCAAACTCAGATGCTGCAAGGCCTCGTTTCACGATGTTGGTTGGTTGGGGAATTGATCCTTCAGCATGATAGATGACATCAAGTTGGAATTTACTAGCTAGTAGTGAGCCCACAGAGATACCAGGCAGTTTGAAACGACTGTTGTGTTTTTCTAGGGGAGGGTGAATAAGGCTACCTCTCGCTTAAGCAAAACTGACCTTCGCCACCTAGCCACAACAACTATTTTATCTTGGCTTCTTCAACTTCACATTCGGCTCAAAGGAAGTCTGAAATATTAGTGAGAATTCAAGTTTTTCCTCATAAATTTGATTTCAAAGGATAAGTATGATTCTTCGCTAGCAACAAATTCCAAACCCTCCCAGGAATACAATGTCCTAGTTTCACGACATGTTCACTAAAACAAGTTCCAGTTCCATCTTAGCATAAACTCTTTCCAATCCTCGCCTATTGTCTCCTCAAGTCCTTAGTGGAGAACCATATACCGCATCTTCCAACCCCTTTCCATTCAATCCACAAAAGCCCCAAGTCCGCCCAATCAGATCCTGATCTATCGCAAGATCTAAGCTACCTGAAAACTAAAATCTATGCAACGGACTCACTTCATTTCTATGAAAAGTACTTTTAAAGTCAGAAGATAGCTAGAGTTTCCAGACGAGCTGGAATGTAAGATTTCAAATGTGCTGCCCACAACCTGTAAGATACGACAATAACTGATCAGCGACTACAAACTCAAGACTTCTCAATCTCATCTAGTTCACACGCTAAGAAATCACAATTGGAATCATGATATATCCATAGTCACATCTTGTTTGACTCTACCATGAGTACCTAAACAGATACACCACATAACATCATCGCCAGATAATGAGTTTACCTAAAGTCTTGCGCAGTCACAAATGCAAACATCCCACGATAGTCAGTTCACGAGTCACTTATCCCGCTCTCAATCGATAAAATGCTCTAATCAACCGCGCGTAATTCCCAACCCTTAACCCAACACCCAAATAAAAGCTAGAATCCAAAGTCTGCCTAATTACAATCGACAAAAGAAAAAGAACAAAACCCACACCCCTCCTCCACCCCCTCAAATTACCCAAAGCCCCAACAAACATCGACAACAGCACCCAAAAAGCCACTAAAATTGCCCCCCAACGCAGAGTCGCAAGCACCCCCTCAACGTCCCCAGAACAATAAGAACTACACCAACCTGCCCCAGAAGACACCGTCATGGCGGAACCTGCGTCCGTTGCGGAGGAAGTGGAGTAGCACCTACTCCCAATAACAGTGTGGTAAATGGAAACCATGTCGCTCGTCCTTATTGTCATAGAGGTAGACATAGGGGATGCGGGGGCGGGGGTTGGATAGATGTGTTTGTAGACTGTCCTAATAGGGATAATCATACTGGGTAAGAGGGACGAGGACGAGGGCGAATAAATGTCTTTACACTGTTACAGCTACTAGACCAGGAACTAACTCGCTCAGATCAAGAGACATCTCCAATTTCCTGAGACTAGGTTCAAGTAAATAAAATCCAGAGTTGCTCTCTCACGCTAAACACCACATGTCTTACAGTACTAATTAGCTACCCACTCTCCTTACTCTGAAGTGAGAACCCTCAAAAAGCCACATCCTTCAACTCCCAAAGACGCTTTAGCATCGACTACTAAACAAGCTTGTATACCAGGTCGGTAGCTTTCCACAAATTCTCGCTACTTCCTTTTGCAACCCGACCTCGCTTACCCCCTTCTCCCTCTCCAATCTTTCAAAAATGCAATTAAAAACATGAGAATCAGACAACAGGAGAATCAGATATAGGATTAGTACTAAAATTACCATTGACTCCTCAAAAAAAGCGTAAACCCATCATCAACCGACCCAATCCTGCTCCTACTCCTACTCCCACTCCCACCCGCCAATACCCAAGCGAGACCCAATCCAAATCCAAATCCAAATCCATATCGTGACCGCATTCCCAGGAGTAGAAAGAAAAAGAAGAAAAAAGAAAAGAACTTAAAATCGAGGCCGTGTGGCTGCATCCTCTCGTCATCATAGCTCATAAATCAACCCCAACATCATGCTATCCTACATCAGCCAAAAGATTTAATCATGGATACAAGCGACTAATAACCTCTCGTAATCCCCGGACGTCTCGCCCATGATTCTACTCTTTAGAGTGCGCCGAAACTTATGTTGGTAGGCACCCTTAACATTCTGCATGTGGTTTCGGTTCCAGTGCATGCGAATCACTCGGTTGGTAAGGAGGGCATCTTTGGTACCCATTCCAGCCATTGTTTCTTCGAGGAGTATGGCATCGCGCATGGCTTTGTCGGTTCCGGTGCAGAGTTGGTGGAGGAGAGCCATTTCCATGTGTCCGGAGAATTCCTGTTGTTGTTAGACTGAATTTAAAAGGATATGAAGGGGCGAATTACGCTCTTGATAACAGAGGCTAAATCGCGTCTGAATTTCTGCTGGTACGTATGTGCGATCGCTCCAATTTGCGCATCACTTCTATTGGTAAGGATATTGCAGACCATCAACTCATCTGTACCCATCTTGCCCTCTGTAGCTTTATAAAGCTCTTGGATATCCGCATCAATTTGTTGTGGAATAAGAGGCGTGCTCTCCTCATTTCTGTTCGCAGCCAATACCATCAAGAAATGTCTCTCAGTCTTCATACTCAAGTCGCCCTTAACATCCGAGTCCAGATTTCGGCGGTAAGTCTTTTGATATGTTTCCTTGATTGCCCGCATATCTGCATTTGATCGTCCCAGTAATACGTCATTTAGAACCTTCTCCTTCGTACCAGGTCCGCTCATAGCTTCGCGTAATAGGTGGACATCTTGGAGCAATGGTCCGCGAGCAAGTGCACAAAGTCCTTCTTCAAACCATCCACTTGTTTCGCTTTTGATGTCTTTAATCAGGTCTCTGCTGAATCGGTAATTGAACGTTTGTCGAATTACGTTGATTTGAAGAGGATCTTTTTGCGACAATACTCGGATCAGCATCTTTTCATCTGTGCCGAACCCCTTCATTGCTTTTCGAAGAGCCTCTGCATCCTGTACACCGTCATATTGGATCTGTGTTGGTGGTCCATAACCTAGTGATGGTGGAGTCGGAACTACGTATCCTCCATACTGTTGCGGTGGTGGCTGTCCATATTGCTGCGGAGGAGGAGGCTGTCCGTAGCCAGCGTGTTGAGGAGGAGGATATGGACTGTGTGGTTGAGGTGGGGGGTATTCTGTTTTATCCTGTTAGCTCCTGCTCGTAATATGCTTCCAAAAAGTACACTTACGACCAGGCGGGGGAGCTCCGTAAGGTTGTGGTGGAGGTGGTTGGCCATAACCAGCATTCTGGGGAGGATATGGACTATGCGATTGTTGTGGAGGATACTCTGTTTTCAATGGTCAGTCTTTCACAAATTGCCTTTACGGATCATGGAAACATACGGCCTGGAGGGAGAGCTCCATATGGAGCTCTGTAGGGTTGTTGAGGCGGAGGAGGTTGCTGATATCCGCCGTATGGTTGTTGTGGAGGAGGGTATTCTAAAGCTCGTCATCAGTGGTAAGCTCGGGCGCAAAGAAAATGTTCACTCACGGCCTGGGGGAGGGGCGCCGTAAGCACCCGGGTATGGAGGTTGTTGGTATGACATTCTGCAGTCAAGAGGTATGTGTGTGTGTGTATGCCTTCAGACGGTGTAGAAAATGATGAGAGGGGAAGAGAATTGAAGAAGAAGCGTTAGGAGGAAGCTTCAGGTGATGGGATGGTATGGTGATGGCGTTGTAGGTAATTAATGGGAGATACGGATATCTAAGCTAGTCGTCGTAGTCTTGTGCTGCAGCGCGGGGATCCTCGAGGGGCAGTGCTTGGGCGCTGATGAATGCTATTGGACCACACGGATCTTCTTCTAGAAGCAGAAGGGAAGGACTTGGTGAAAGTGGGCCCGAGAGCTTGGCCTTGGGCGATGATGATGAAATCTGGAATTTGCCTTTAAGGCTTCAGGCTGCGCAGCACCTGAGCCACAGTGTGTAATAAATAGTCTTGGTCACAGTGTGAATACAGTATTACCGTCTGTGACACTATTTACGCAGTATCCTTCTCTGTAGAGTAAATGTCGGAAGTTGTGTTCAACTGCTGCTTTGACCATGACCATACGATGTTGCAGTCCCAGTGCCCCTCAGATCCCTGAATAGTGATGCGACCATAGGGCTGAGCAAGCACTGACGCAAACACAAAAACACTGCCATTCACTTGCAGCAAAACAACGAGTGAATCATCCGGCTTGGCTAGAAAGGCATAAGTATGCTGATCTATTCACCCAAAGTACAATCTATTGTCGCTTAATCAAAGTCATTGTCCTGTCAAAACAAGTTGAGTATAAGGTCATGCGTAGGTAGGGAATTAACGAGAAGAAGTTGAAAAATGGATCACTTGAATTCCCCTTGAGAGGATATTTCAAGTTCAAAGTTTCAGACTCAACTCTTTCACGGAAAGGAGGTTTTCGTTCTGTGTTTGCTTGTGAGCATCTTCTGGTCTATTTACTTCCAAGGCTGGAAGCAAACATGTGACTAACCGTCCAGTCACATTTTCTCTCTGAGGTTACATTGCTCTTTCCAGCTTCTTCCAGACAACCTTTGATATTCACCTAAATACCCAGATTCCGCTTCGCCAAGCACATTTTGGTGCATTCCCAAGGGATTCTCATATATCTCCCTTACATAAACTTCACTCTGCCCATCCCTCTCCAACAAACCTCTTCAAATGGGGGGCTCTGCCTTTCTGACTCACAATCCACCACTCCCAACTCCCCGCATGCCCTTGGAGATCTACCAGAAAATTCTCTCACAAACCCTCACGCTCCTTCAAGAACATTATTCACAATGCGCCTCGCCTATCGAAGGCCCGGGCAAGAAAGATTTCGGAGATGTCGATATCCTAGTTGCCTCCCCCAAATCCCCAGAGTACGATGTCTTCCCAAGCTCAAGCCGGGATACAAAAAGGACAGAAATTCAAAGCCCCATGAGAGAAGTAGCTCAGAACCTCTCTATCTTGCTAGGAGCAGAAGCGTTCATCGTCGAGAAAGGAAACCCAACGATTAATTTTGCAATTCCCTGGCCTGAGTCGGTAACTCTTCCAAACACAAACGTAAACTCAGATCAAGCACAACAAAACGTGGAAGAGGAAGAGCATCAAACGCCAACCCAAGAAAAAAAGTATATTCAAATTGATATCCACCATCTCCCCAATCCTCAATATTTCCACTGGGAACTCTTCCATAGCGCACACGGCGACCTGTGGAACATCCTAGGAACCATCATCCGACCCTTCGGCCTCACAGCCAATAACATCGGTCTCTACATCCGGATTCCAGAAATCGAACTTCGGGACCGGAAAAAGAGTATGATATTACTCACCTCTGAGCCTGGTCTTGTTCTCGATTTCTTGGGATTGGATGAAGGGAGGTGGTGGAATGAGTTTGGGAGCCAGGAGGAAATGTTTAGGTTTGCCATGGGATGTCGCATGTTTTGGATTAAGGAGGATAACGAGGATGGTGAGGGAGAGGGAGAGGTTGTAGGGGATGTGGCCGTTGATGGGAGGGTTGGGAAGGAGGGTGGGGAGATGAGTAAGAAGAAGTTGAAACATAATGATCGTCAGAGAATGAGTAAACGGCCAATTTTCAAGGCGTGGATTGAAGAGTTTGTTCCAAAAATTCGGGAGGAAGGGTGTGCGAAGGTAGCGAAAGTTACCAGAGAGGAAATTAGAGAGGAGGCTATGGAGAAGTTTGGTATGAGGGAGGTATATGAGCAGAGGCTACGAGATTGGAAATTGGAGAGGAATGGTATTGAACTTGGTGCGATCCTCAAAGGGGCGGTTCCTGGGGCTGATGAGGTGGATCCACCGTTGAGAGCTGCTGCCATTCGGTTCCTGAGGAGTGTCATTAAGGATGGAGAAGAGTTTGATGGAGTTATTCCGGAGGCGGCAAAACTGGACAAAAATGGCTTGTATGACCTTGACAGGGTTAGGGCATTTGTTGAATCAAATTGGCGAAGAGCGGGCGAGATTGGGTTGAAGAGACAGCATTATGAGAGCGTGGATAACCATAGATTGAAGGAGATTTTGAAAGCCAAAGAGACGGGCGAGGTTGAGAACGATACCCAGGAGGTAAAACTAGATACATAAATAGAGAATGGCAAGGAACAATGACGTCCGGGTCCAGCAGACACGGTCTCTAATCTAAGTGAGCATTAACACTTCAATCCAATGGTTCTGTGGTTATAGTCAAATGCAACGACCAACCCATATAGATGTGAAGCTCCGGCCATAACAACGAGAACGTGGAATAGTTGGTGTGAACTTCCCCAAATATCAAACTTGCCAGGCCAGCTTCTTTCTGGGAATCGACCCTATTGGGTCAGCAATAAAAAGAGAAATGGGGTTCATAAAACTTACTGCATAAAGCGCTGCGCCCATTATATAGAAGACGCCTTGGAGAAGCACCCACATAAGCCCCATCCTCTCCTTCATATTTTCAATACCATACATTTCCAAACCATGTAAGACAGGAAAGACTCCTGAAAGTCCCATGGCGGAAAACATAGTAGCCCGATATGGTCTCCAAGCTGGTGTTCTGAACCTCTCAAGAATAGAAGCGGCTGTACATCCAGCCCCTAACGAGCATATCTAAACAAGAAATTAGCGGTCGCAGGTACAAGGATGAGTATTGCCGAAACACACCATGGTCCAGTACGTCTCCTGCAAATGAGGATGGCAGTAGAATCCATAATAAATACTAGGAATAAAACTTCCTGTGATCATAAACACAATCCCGACATAATCAAGTTTATTTCCAAACTTCGAGACAAGCGGCGAGTGATTGGAAATAGCATGATACGTCCCACTCATACCCAAACACAATGCCGCCCCCACAAAAAAGCATCCGAATACAATAATATCTGCTGAATTGGCCGTCTCGTATCTTGGGGCAATTTCAGTGTATAGAAAGAGACCTATTAGGATGAAGGCTAGACCACCCAGGAGGTGGGAGTAGATGTTCACTGATTCATTGTGCAGATAGCCGAGACTTGCGAAGGACTTGAGGAAAGAATTTGACTCGGGTCGATAGCCGGAATGGATGTAGTGATTGTCTTGTTGCCATGCGGGCAGGTCATCCCAGAGGACGGTCAAGGCCGATTCGATTTTCTTTTCGACCTTCTTTAATGTGTCTGTGATAGACGGGGCTTCTTTTCTTTGGCGGATTGACATGTGGTTGTTGATAGGGTGCCGGCCGGGTATTGATATCGGTATCCGAGAGAAGAAAAGTCGGGTAACACAACGTAAAGCTTTGGTCGCTTTGAGAACACGAGAGAAGGGAACGAATTTGTAGAGAAAGCCCGAAAAAAAGATCCTTTGCTTTGGAATGATTTGAAAGGTGTTCTTCAGGATTTGAGGACTTGGGGGTACCTTGCTAGCTGTAAGACGGTGAGGCTGTTGCACAGACTGTCAGACTACGGATGTCAGGGCCTCGGCTTGAGATGCCCTTCGCGCCTGGCCCCGCCAAAGGTATTACCTCCGTAAGGTGGACAGGAGGAGGTAGGCACGAACACCTTGGATGCACCGTTGTGAAAGTAGACAACACCGTCCCAAGTCTACAATACGGCACTGTACGCAAATTCTCAATGTCCGCTCGTGGAGGTCGTGCAACGTCAGGGCCATGGAATCGATTGAAACCCGCGAACTTCGACCCCCTCGAGTCGATTGGCCTGCCCTCCAAAGGCGACGCAAGGTACCACCATCTCGTCCCCTCCATCAACCACTAGTTTACCCCACTAACCCAAGACTAGACTCCTTGACTTCAAAGCCCAAGAGCGATACTACACCAAGATAGTCGAACGATATATGGCCTTTTGCTCCGACGCTGGTCGTGGCGATGAACTCCTCCGCCGATTAGCTCGTATGGAAATCTCCCGCGAGACAACAGGCAGGAATGACAAACCACAAAGAGTGATGGCAGCAACCACACCAGATCTGGCACTCAAGACTCTGCCTGCGGATAACGGAGCCTCTGGGCAGCGGGATTTGACAACTATAATGATGTCTATGCGAAAACTGCGGGAAGGAATCGTTGCCTCAAACCGGGTGGATACTTTCTCGATCCAGGCGTATATTTTCTGCATTCGGCTCTCGATTTTGGTGAAGCACATGGAGTCTTACCAGCCCGCTATTTTACATCTATTGAAGAGGATGCATCCTGTACAACAACTAACCAAAACGGAGTTGCAGGAATTTGTGGGCTACCTTGTTTTGGACCTGGCTTGTCGACAGAATGATCTTGCAGAGGCGCATGCGATACGCCATAAATGGGGATTGAAAGATGCCAAGGTAGATGCCATCCTACGGTCTCTGGCTCATGACAACTACTTCTTGTTCTGGAAAGTCAAGAGGAGTGTGGATGGCCACAAGGCGAAACTTATGGAGTTTGCAGAAGATGGCGTGAAGAGGCAGACTTTGAAATGTCTTGGAAGAAGCTACCTCAATATCGACCTGCCCTCTTTGGAGCAGTATACCAATACTGGATGGCCTTCTTTAACGAGAGATTGTGGAGTGGGATGGCAATTGGAGGGTACGAAAGTCATTATTCGAAAACCAAAGACGAAATGATTTTGGGCGTGGGGTCATCCGAAAAGAAACCATATGATACTCATTTTTATGACTATCGACATGTCGCCAAGTACCTTGTTGAAGACGATTATCTGGACCGATATCCTCAAACTCTCTTATTCTGTTTGCCGATAGTACGCATTACAGCTTATTCCAACCAAATACCCCGGACAATCGACGGCCACGGATTTCCGCAGAATTCAATTATTTCGTTTCCGGCCCAGTTGCTGGAAAAGACCGATGAAGATATCACGCCCTGGCCAGTTTCCAATCAGGCGTATCTCAACTAGGGGCATCAGAATCTGCCGTAAATGAATTCTTCTCACGGAGGGTGACCACAACTATCTCACGCCGTCTTGTCCTCTGGCAGCACTCCAAATACCCCTGGAGTAAATTGAGATGGAGTTTATTGATTTGTAAGGCCGCTTTCCCATACATCAAAACGTGCTGTACGAGCAAAGGCCTGAGTAAGTTACAGCCGAAAGCTGGCTGGGACCATGGCTGGTTCAGTAGCCATTGGGCCTGCGGGGAAGGCTAAATTACACCATTTCAGCTGAGAGGAGAGATTACGAACAATAAAATCATCTTCTATCAAGCTTTCAGCCCTTTCTTGAGTAGTTTCCTTGCGTGTGCATTGAGTTTTCTGCCATATTCTATTATTATGTTGGCATGGCATTGTTGTTACTCAAAGCTTTTGGGTATGCTCAGTAGTTCATGGATTAGGGTATTGGCTGAAGAGTCATTACTTGAGCATTCTGATACCAGGTAGAGTAATCGGCCTATAATTCTACAGAAAGTCGTCTGCCGTACCGCGATGCTCTGCTTTTCCTGGCCAGCATTTACATCTTCTAATCAAAGCTTATACTTTGCTTCGTTGTCAGGGTGCTGGAGCCAGCAGAAAGCAGACTCAAGTCAGGTTTTATCAACTGCCAGTTGGTACTCGGCCGCAACACCAGAGACGCTACATTCCCATAAGCGAGGATTTCGGTTTACTGTAAAGTTTCAACTAATTTCTCGAAGACATCGTGAAGCTGGATGTCGCACGATCATATGATATTTGTTTGTCCTTCATCGGGAATTGTGTAAGAATTATTATTATTCCCTCCCCAAAACGCCTAAACTCAGATCCAAAGGTCTGTCTATACTACATAGGTATATATAAAGTACATCGGGTCTATACATCTCATTTGAGTGTTTACTGCTCACCTTCTTCTAGTCCGCGTCTTCCGTCCTATATTCTGTACCCCGTCATTCTTTCTATTCTCTGTTCTTGTCTTGTAATCCAATTAATCCTCTTTCAACCCTTTCAGATCACCGTCGCTCTCTCATGCCTCCACCTCTGGCGAATCAAGGACGTCCTCCGACTTCTCCTTGGATCGCCAGAACTTCATCTGCCGGCGGAACTTGTCAAACCTCTTACGTCGCGCCGGTCTCTCCTTCAACTCGGCCAGAGAAGGTACATAATTCTCATCCATCCCGATGAGACCATCCATGCGTTTCGCATTTTTCTTATACTCCTTGGTTTCCGTTGGACTCTTGGGTGCTTTTGCACCGATGCTCAATTTGCTGAGGATGCTGGTCTTGAAGGTCTTCGTCCGCACGAAATCCGCTTTTGTGGCCTCTACTCTGGCAATTGAAGCTCTTGACGAGCAACGGGAGAGACAAGGTGATCGACCACCGCTCATTTGTGGGTCGTCTGGTGCGGTTTCTATGGAGACGTGGACGCCCTCGCCGTTTGGTGGCGTGTAGTATGGCTTGTATACTTTTACTTTGCACAGGTTTACATCGCGGCGTAGCTCGGTTGGACGGCTTTGGAGCGCTGGATGCAGATTTATGATGTCCTCGAGGGACTGTGGTCGTCGGAGGCCATCTGCGACAACGAAACGACGCTCTGTGGATGGGCCGCTGACGAAGTTGTTGGTTGATGTTCGTCCCCTTTCTGTGACCTCGCTTAGAGGATAGACCTCGATTACATCCGAGTAGGCCTCTTCAGTCTCGCATGCTGAGTAGAAACTGTCGTCACTGAAGTTGGAAGAGGCGACGCTGAGTGGTCTTTCCTGGGGGACGTACGTGTCTCTGGCTCCGGTGAGGAGTTCAATTCGCTCGATGAACTTCTTGAAGTTCTCCAGGTATGCGCTCGTCTGCATCTCATTATGGTCGGCAAAGTATTGGGTGAGATATTGTTGCCAGTGGTGTTCAAGCTCTTCGGCGAGGTTCTCGAGGTAGTAAGACAACTTGAACGTATCTGAGGGAGTAAGATGGGCCTCGAGGTACTCGCGACCCAACATCTCGCTATCATTCTCTGTCTCCTCTGCAAAAGTTGATCTCCACTCTAAGAGGTGGTGGTCTTCAAAAACGACATCCTCGTGTGTGAATGGGACATCGCCAGATCTGTCCCAAGCTGGAATCTCAGGTTGCTCGTTGTTGGTGACTGGGAGGGGTCCTGATCGATCCCAGGCTGGAATCTCGCTTGCCGCGTTGCTTGTGAATGTTTCGCTTTCTTGTCTTTGGAGAGCGATTGACTCTAGTTTGGCATTGAGGGTCTCGGACAGATATGAAGGTGAGTCCGGGGTGGTTAAGATTGTGGAGGCTCTGGAGAAGCCGGAGGTTGAGGTGCCGCTTTGGGATGCGGAGTTGGTTGTCGAGGAGCTTCCAGTCACCATGATGCTGGGTTTTGGACGAGTAATATTCTTCATTTTTTGATAAGGACTGTGGTGAGTCAGGGTAGATTTTTGAAGTTGTGATTGTGAAATTTGTTGGTCTTTTTGCTTGGGTATTTGGTAAACGAGTGTTTGGAGGTTTTGGAAAACGAAAGTTGAGAAGATTAAAAGATCACGATGGGGAGGGAAATGTTTGGGCAGCTGATTGATTAAATACTCCTTTGGTGATGTCAAAATCCTGAGGTGCTAGCTAAAAAAAAACTCGATTGAGACCGTTCCTAGCTGGCGTCCAGATTCACACTAAGTTGGGAACCATTCTTCACCTTTTTGACCAATATTCCTGGTAGCGATGTACTTATGACTTTGGTGATGTAAATACCTTGTGTGGTGCTGAAAATTTTGATTGGAGACGGATTTACGCTAAGTGTGTATCGTTTTTTCTTTTTCACCAGTAGTATGCCTAGTAGCAATATACATACGCTCTCACGGAACGGGATGATGTCTTTTAAGACGTCAGAATTTTGGCACGTCTTCTGGGGGGTTTTTAATGATCTGTTTGGCCCAAGTTCTTATTTCATGCCAAACTCATCAGAACGTCGGATTTGTGAGGTGCATCCAACTCAAATTGCGTGGCTGTCTAGCTCGGAATTTAGATGGGGGGTCGTTTTTGTTTGGTTTTCGGTCTAGCGAGAAAGACTAGATGGCACTAGGTGGTAGTAGTAGGATAGCAAAGGATTTACGCGAAGACTGCACTAATCCAGAAATTTTGATGGTCAAGGGCAGGGGGCATCTAGCTGTGTTTTGGTATAAGCGAAGCGTTGTGGGACAGTAAGCTGCCATTTACGCAGTGAGAGATTCATACGATTTGATGATAAAAGTTGTTTTGATCATGTGACTCGGCTGCACATATAGGTACTCTGAAGGTGCATTTTGTGCCACCAATTCCCGGTGGCTAAGTCGGGTATATTCCGCCTGCATCGCAGCCCAAGGCCGGATGAGGAAGCTGAGCCTTGCCTAGAATCTTGATTTCAAAATGATCGTCTCTCACGTTTCTCTTTTCTTGCAATCAGGATCGCAAGCAACGGTACAGTCGAAACTCTTCTATCCTCGTCGGTTGGTTCATGAATGCACCTCGGAATCATGCTCAATCCTCTATCTGCAATTAGCCTCGCAGGCAATATTGTATCGTTCATTGATTTCACATGCAACATCCTTACCGAAAGTAGTAGAATTTACCACTGGAACGGCAGATGCTGAGAGTCTCGAACTCGAAGGTATCGCGGAAAGTCTACGAAAGTTTGACGATGGAGTGAATAATGTCACGGAGAACGAATTCTCTTCCACATCGAAAGCATGCAAAGAGGTTACAAATGAGCTACTCCAGGCAATTCGTGAACTCAAACCCAGATCAAACCATCACAAGAGATGGAATAGCGTGCATTAAGCTTTGACAAGCATATGGAATAAGGAAAAGATTCGCGGATTGCGAGACCGGTTGAACTTTCTGGGGAACCAGGTTACCTTCGACTTCGTTGGCGTCTTGTGGTAAGGAACTTGTGATCTCGTCTCCTTTTGTTCGGGCATAATTGTTCTCGTGGCTAACCTGCCCCAAAAAAGCGCGGGTCAAGAATCCATTTCCAACAAAATAGAGCAACTGCAAACATCAAGCTCCAATGCTCTGAAGGAATTGAGAGAAAATGCACACAGGGCAAGCTTGAATAGAGAAGAGGAGTTTTCAAAGCTCCTGGGGGGGCTGGATAAAATTAGTGTCCATAGTGCTTCCATGCCCACAAAAGAAGACCTCAAGCGAATCGCCGATACCCTGACACGTTCGTTTGCTGCAACCGAAGTTATCTCCAAGGAAGTCGATATTATTCACAGCTTACAGTACAGTTGTATGTTGGCTAGACACTCTAGGATCCCTGAGGCACGCAGCAAGACCTTCCACTGGATTTTTGATGCGGAGAGGTTGCCCATGAGCGATAGCAGACGCAATATTGGGTTCAAAAGCTGGTTAGAGACTAAAAATGGCATTTTCTGGATTTCCGGTAAACCAGGCTCGGGAAAGTCTACACTGATGAAGTATATATGCGACAACCCAATGACTAGACGATACTTGAGGCGATGGGCTGGCGCTTCGACGCTGAATATCGCCGAGTTCTACTTCTGGAGCTCTGGAACAGATATGCGACAACCCAATGACTAGACGATACTGGAGGCGATGGGCTGGCGCTTCGAAGCTGAATATCGCCGAGTTCTACTTCTGGAGCTCTGGAACAGATATGCAAAGGTCGACCCAGGGACTGCTGCAGTCAATTATCTATGAAATCTTACGCCAATGTCCCGATCTCATACCAAGAGTGTGCCGCCAGCGTTGGTTTGCGAATGAGCTTGAGCGTACAGGGCCTTGGAGCTTTAGTGAACTCAATAGATCATTCGAGTGTCTTCAAGGTTGTGCATCCACATCTCAGAAGGTTTGCTTCTTCATCGACGGCCTTGACGAGTACGAGGGGGAACACTTGGAGCTTCATGAGCGGCTGTTAAATATCGTTAAGTCGCCTCATATTAAGTTGAGCCTCTCAAGTAGACACTGGACTGCTTCGAGGACGCGCTTGGGGATGCGGATGACCGAAAGATATATATGCAGGAATTGACCAAGAATGATATTGAGGTTTATTCGATTGAGAAACTCTCACTCCCAGCAAAGTGGGCTTCCAAGCGAGGTGATCAAGTCCGTCACCGAAATCTGGCTATGGAGATTTTCAAGCGTGCTCAGGGAGTATTTTTGTGGGTATATCTTGTTGTCCGCTTGCTACAAGATGGCTTGATAAATGGCGATGATATTTCATTGCTAGAGAATAGGCTTAAATCACTACCTACAGATTTGGATGCCTACTTTTCTCACATCATGCACTCAATAGAAAACCTTTATCTGGAAAAGCTGGCTTGCATGCTCCGGGTTACTTTGGCGGCCAAACGTCCACTCTCCTTGATGACCTACTCATTTCTTGACAAAGGGTTGAAGGACCAAGATTTCGCTATCAAACTCCCCCATGTTCCTTTCACTGTGGCCCAGATCCAGCACCATAAGAGCGATATGCGACGAAGAATCAATGCAATCTCCAAGGGGCTGTTAGAAGTGTCTGAAAGTCGCAGAGTGGGGGAAGACACCACTAGAGTTGAATTTCTCCACAGAAATGTACACGATTTCCTTTGTACGAGAAATGCGCAATCGAATTTGGATACCATGGCTCCAGAAACTGTCAACATTTTCATCGCAATAAGTCGCCCCTTGCTAGCGAGACTGAAGGTTGTCATATCTACCAGGACCAGTGCAGCCACGACTATGCAAGAAATTTGCAATATACTTGATTACGCATCCTTAGCAGAAGAACAGCGTGAATTACCGGATCGCCCTGCTGTATCAGAATTAGTTTCGATTGGAGAGAAGAAATTTGGCCATTTTCTAGAGCGTCGAACTATCTTCCTGGAGTACGCCGTAAGAAAAGGACTTGTACATTATGTTAGAGAGGAAATAACCCAGTACCCTCATTTAGTACCCTCACATGGTGGTGGCAGTCTATTACTGAATGCCTCATTGGGAATACAAAACAGCGTATTACCCTCGTCAGTTCTAAGCAAAGTGAAAACGAGGGCAATGCTAGAAGTTCTGCTGCAAGCTGGAATAAACCCCAACGCAAAACTAGGAAATGTTACGATATTCGGCTTGTATTTACGCCGACGCAATCATGAATTGCTTCCCGAGGAATTTAGGCACTTGCTGGGTGTCCTGCTGCTTGCTCCAGGGATAAATCTCTTAGGAAATATCGACCAGCTGTTACCGATTTCAAAGTCTAGGGATTTTGATGCGGTCTTGAAAGAATGGGAAGAGTTCTTGAGCCATGGGTTTGATCCCAACATACTCGTGGGTGACGGTCGTTCATTCTGGACCGGGCTTTTGGAGCATCATTTCTCTAAAGGATGCTGGAGTTCTTCATTCTTGTCAGAGATCCGGAGAGTGGCAATTCTCTTTCTTAGATATGGTGCAGATCCTTTTGCAGCGTGCTATTTTGTGAAAACAGGCGGTACTCTGCCAGCCTTCGAAGTTCTGGAAAAACATTGTTGTGACGACATCATAACCGAAATAAGCGAGAGTATCGAATTGCGGGACAAGTTGAAGAGCATTCTTAAGAGAGAAATGGAACATCTTAGAAGCCGGGATAGCTACGTGCGGAAGCGTAAAAGGTCATCTTCATTGAGACCGCGAAAGAGATTGCGTTTCGGTGATTAAATACTTCTGGGTATTAAGGTCAAAAGTGCAGTGCTGTAAGCTCGTGAAGAAAACAGCGAACTCGAGAGAGCTGGAATGTGAACAAATTTTGAGGTAGCCTTGAATAGTCTGCATTCTTCAGACTTGGATATCCAATTACTTGTTTGAGATTGATTCGAGTTACATGCTTTTACGGAAATATAGACAGATGGGCCTTTAGAGTTTTGGAGGAGTATGATATCTAAGGAGTACGTACGTACATACATTGAAATTAAGAATGAACGCTCTGTTGTATTCTTTCAAGTCTTCTGGGATCTCAGGGAAGATACTACTCGATGCAGACACCATACGGGTGAGTCTCAACTTTGAAGTCCTTCACAGCAGACTCCACGAGCAGCAGTGATTGACTCCCTGCTCTGTTCTGGCTTTGTAAATGAATTTTATGCCATAGGCTCGGGATTTTGCATAATCTTCACAATTGCTCTACACTATTGGAATAATCATGACTTATTCCAGGCAGTTGGAATACCTCTGTTAAAATCCCTCTGTAAACTCTTTTCACAAAACCTCTCTAAGAGTTCGGAATTATCAGGCCAGTATCTTTTGTGAGGAAAAGGGATATTACTGAGAACCTTTTCTATATGATTCACTATAATATCCAATTGAGGTAATCCTCATTATCGTCATAATTTTGTAGATAATGTAAAGAAAGTATGTAACTCAGAGTTAGGGCGATATTATCTCGGCATCGATTTGCAGCAAAACTAGCGTTCCAGAGATTCGGTTCTAGATGTTATCGAAATTTCTCACATATAGTCTACATGGCAAGAGAAAGCTTTAACTTTCCTCCCTCTCTAGCTTAGATGAAGCTATTCAGAAAACTTATGACCCAGGCAATCACTGCTCCCTGCGGCGAGCGAAAAGGCCCCGAAATCGCATTATGCAATACGGGGCGACAAAAAGACCAGGGAAAAAATATCCGGATATGGCCGTTACTAGAATAAGCTGCTTGTCATGACGCACTTGCAACAATGTTGCCACAGGTTCTCAGTACGGTAACCCATACTCGCGAAGCACTTGTACAACGGTACAAAATGCAAGGTCTTCTGGTTCCACAATGTCACGGTTGTTCCGGCATAAGACAACCTTTCGATCAAATCTGATCTCGCAGAAAGTTTTAGGTCCGCAGGCATGACATTACGACAAGCGGCCGTGGCCCGTAAAGCAAAACTATGGCGGGTTGCATCCACACTTTTGGGAAGAACTCCCCATGGGTTGTCAAAGTTGGCTGATGGTCGATCGATGGTACCGAGACACTGGGTATACGGCCATACCAAGATACGAATATTGGCAGAAGGATTCTTGATCGGTTAAGCAACACTAACCTGGTCAGCAAACCGCCGTCTCACGAATTCAATCTTTTTGTATCTTCTCCCGGTCTTATTTCTATCCTGTTACTCCGTCCCAGGCGAACTGAATATACATTTTCGGGGGGGTTTACTCTATGGCTAACCTTAGCCACCTTAGGAAAGTTCCATCATTTCGCCTGTGACGACGTAGACGGAGCTGACCACTTTATCGAGGTTTGGGGGGTTTCGAACCTTCCAGTCGGCAAATTATGTTACTTAGCGTCGCGGGGTATTACACAACTTTAATAGCCTCCGGTCGATCCCGTCGTAACTTTAATAACCTTTAGCCCTATACTCAGTTCTAGACCCTTTTTTATCACTGGCCGTGGGGGATATCCGAAAAAGTATATCTCATATTCGAGTAGGCCTACGCTCTGGTCCTACATCTAAAACTATATATAATAGAATTCTAGAAGTATAAATCAGGCTTTCAAAAGAAATGGTTTTAAGAGCTAACTATATACCCTCTGCCTTTTCCTAGATTAGAGAGTATATATGGGCACGTTATAAAAGGGCCCGAATTTAGATAAGCTAGCGAAATTTCCATTTGAATTTCTCCTCTAATCTATAAATACTTAGTACCTTTCAGTTATCCCTTAAGACTATTTGTAACTTCACCTAGGTAGTAGAAAGCTACTACTAACTTATACCCACTCTGTTCTAAAAAGCGGCCATTTGCTTGTAGGTTCGCCAAGGGGTTATTGAAATCGGAGTAGTCGACCGAGGCCATTAAAGTCGTATAATTAGGGCGGAGCCCGCTACAAGACCGGGATGGAGTCTAAAGGATGATGCTATTATAGTACGGCTTAGCTTTAGCGGCCGCGGGGATGCAAAAGGGATGTTGACTCGTTGCAAAGTCACCAGCCACAACAAGGCGAGAATAAATGGTCTACAAGTCTTTAGGCGGGGTAACGATAAGAGAAAATACTATCGATAAGCAAAGGCCGAACTACTAAACTCTCGAGGTAAAACGAGAGGGCTGGGCTTGTTATACGAACCTAGCTTCAAGACTCGAGTACGAAGATTTATTGGCTACTTTTTGTTTCTTGGTCTTTACTTAAGAACGCAGGGCGCTATGACGGGAGATCCAAGTCCCAATACACCGCATTAGCGCCCACAGCATTCGCGCCTTCAATAATGCACGCCGGCAGCCCGGCAGCGCAAATGCCATGCTGAATCCAGCGATTCATGGCAAAGGAAACAAACTTCAACCACCAAAGTCTGTTCAGAAAGTTTGTTTTCGCATCGCATCCTCCAGCAGCTGATAGCAACGTCCTGTGCTCAAGATTGCACGGACGTTTCCCCATCATCAGATATGGGGTTCGCATGGCCTCGCAAGCGAGGAGACGGAAAAGAAGCGGTGAAGATCAAAGCTCTTTTGCCTTTTTCTTTATAGTTTTTCATTCCCGCGTGGGGTGCTGGTTATGTTCGTCTGAGAGTTTGGGGAATATTATTTGGCCGAGTGGCAGGAAATGCTCCGCAAGGATGAACTGCATCGTGAAGTCAGCGCGGAATCTGAGGATCAAACCTGGAACTTCAGCTTCTGTCTTCTTCTCTTCTTGTCTCGGGGGTTCCATTTTGCTCTTGAATAGTTGGTTTAGAACAACTGTCTAGTAAATATCTTCGTATCGTGACTTGAGTTGTCTCTACATTTAGCTCGAGACCCCTATTTCTTGCCTCTTTAAACCATTTCTAGTGGAGTGCAATAGTCTTGTCTGGGGTCTAGATGTCTTCTATAGATGTCGTGGTCAGGCGTCTACAGTACGGTAGAAGCATGAAGCCACAAGCACTCTTGCCATAGTCTCGATTAATGCAAATGGATCTTTGGGTGTCTTGTCAAGTTCTCTTACTTCCAGAAAATGGCGCATAGAAGAATCATTTACTGTAGATCTATGTTGCAGGGGTGCCACGAAGAGCTGACGTTTGATGTAGTCATTGACGATGTTAATATTGACATCATTCTAGAAACATCGTCACTTAACCGAAAACCGAGGCTGATTCATGTTTATCGCATTGATCAGCAGTTGATCATACACAGAATTGAGCCATCAAAAATGGACAGGGCGTAGTGTATTCTTGACACATCCATGATGTTGCGAGGTCAAAATGTCCAATAAATTACATATTCAACTCATCACGAGGATTGAATTCTCAGTTTGGTTAGGTAGGAGGCTTTTGGGATGCCCACAAATTAATTAGTCCATCCTACTCGTAGATAGAGCAGCTGTCATCTCCACCGACTTTGACGTCTCCTAGCGATCTTTGGCGCTGTGGTCCGGTCTTGCGAGGAAAGCCCAACTAGCTGCCCATGCATTCTAGATCATCAGGACTTAGCATAACCACCTCTGAGCCTAGAGCAGTTGTAAAATGCACCCAGCATGATCATTTCACAGACAACGAATACTTTCCAAACTTACTAGGCGGGTCACGAGGTCTACTCCCTCTGATACTCATATTCCTTTCTCCTTGTTTATATACTTCTGTAAAGGGCACGGTAGAAGTCTCAACTACACCATCGGCCACATTCAATAGTACCAAGAGCTCTAAATAACAATGTGCATCATTGGAGTTTAGTATAGTATTTACACAAGTCACCTCATCGCCCCGAACAAGTCCTGTGGAATTAGAAGACGTCAGTAGATTGAATCATATTTTGGAGCTGAAATATGGGCTGGGGTATAGCTCTACATACTCTCCACCGAAGAATTGAGGCTGAACAGTTGTTGCGGGGTAGTGTTGGCACTATCTTAGTTACCACTGGTAAACAAATTACCGTTTCTTTACGCTTGGTGAAAAACCAAGTGTATTGGATGGCATTATGGCTCCAATAGTGTACGTTGGCAAGTTATCGCCCCTCCCCCCCTTTTCACAAGCGGACCTCAGAATTCACTGCCCAGCCAACCTCACCAGAAGCATAACAAGAAACCTAGCAAAGCCCCCAGAAATGACAACTCACCACTAACTCACATCAAAACCACTCGATAACTTTCGCCAACCAAAGCCGTAAGAAAACGCAGGTAAGACTATATTCCCATCGGCACTTATCTGCTTCTGCTTCCGCTTCGCGAGCGATCGCCCAGTAGCATGCGCAGTAAGAACGACAACACCTCTCCAGATTCCTTGCACGTCCTGTCCTGTACACCCTTCAACCTGACTTGTGGAATGCTGTTCTGTTGCACCAGCAGGATTATTTGTACAGTACATACAGAAAATATATGTATGTCAGCACGGGATTTACAATGCACAGTCAGAGTCGGATTTTTCGCCCCGTGAAAAAACGGGGGGTATCACAACGTCCTTGGATTCAAGAGTTTCACGTTGATGCGATGTTGATACAATACGATCCAGAATCTGCCAAAATGGTGGCGCGTCCTCAGGCACAAGGACCAACAGAAAAATATTCGTATACAGAGCTCTAGACAGCGGGTCTGACAGTGGCAAGTAGGAAATCGCTATGCATCTCCGTACTCATTTTTCACCGTCTACTTTCAGGTACTCAGACAGACACTGTACCGCCTGAACAATATCATCACTATCAACCCAAAGCGCTCGTTCCAAAGCCCGCAAAATTATCGAAAAAAACCCCCCCAAAAAGTCCCGTGCACCGTCCTCGTAACAAAAACCTAGAAACTAACTGCCGTAAAATACAGAAAATCCAAGAAACGATCAACTTATTACTCACCCCCACCCCACATACCTCATCACCTAAACCCGAAAAAGAAGAAGAAAGAGTGGCACTGGCAGCAGAGAAATACGTATGTGCTAGTAGGAAATTAGTTACCATACTCCACCTTAGGCCAACACACAAACACACACACACTCCACTCACATATCCCCACTCCACACACTCCACACACTCCACACACTCAGTCACACCGCAAAGCGAAGTAAAGCGAGGAAAAAGCACACCTCCTCCACACCTCCTCCACACACACCAAAAAGTCACCCTCCAAAACCAAGGTTTCCAAAAAACGAGACCCACCAAAGGAAGGTGACACCAATCACAACCAATCCCAACCACCCACAACCAACCAATCACCATGTAAAAAAAGGAGGGTACGGTAGGTTAGCTTAGCTTAGCTGACATGCATGCATGCATACGAAAAAAAAAACCACGCAACTTCTATCCATCCAGTCTAGTCTAGTCTGTTCCTCTAAACCGCTTTAGTACATGTGCATGCATGCAGCCGTGCACCCAAATCCAGATTCCAGTACTGTACAAGGGAAAACGTAAAAGTAAGGCGAAGAAGGGAAAGGTAAGGCGAACGGATGTGGAGAGGGTGTTGACGAATAGGGGCTCTTGAAGATAGGAAGGGCCTTGATCGTATACTCGAGTACGTAGCCTTACTGTTTAACCTATGGGATAGGATAAGATATGATATGATGATTTTCTTTCAGGGTATAGAACAGGGTGGAATGGAATGTACACACACTCGTAGACTAGCACGAGAAGGATTAAGCCACTTTCTACCTCCGTACTACAGTACACGATACGATTTCCTTAAGGACGGTACTCGAGTACTCGTACCTTAGAATCCGCAGCCGCAGCCATGCCAATCCCCCCTCCGAGTCTCCGACCTTGACAGAATCCCAGGATTCTGGAAAGGGGAAAAGAGGATTAAAGAAATCGGAAGGAAAGAAGTGAAGGAAGGACTATACATACTTCTTACAGTACTGTACTGTACTGTCTGTACTGTACATATTCGTATTAAATCCAGCCACTATTCTTTTTCTTTCTTGCAAGACTTGAGTAACCTACCTATAACTCGCGACGTTTAACTACCTAGGTAGAGCGTAATTTTACTTGTTCCATACTATATTATTATTTCGAGAACTCTATTTACTAACCCCGTTTCCGACCTAAAACCTTACCCACATATCCCGGATAATATACGACTAAGCGTAACTATAAACCTCACACTCACATTTAAGAATTCCAAGTTCCGATTTCCGAATTGTGAATTGTGAATTTCTGTTTCCAAGTTGAATAATTAATACTTGGTAGCCATATGAATCTAGTAATTCTAAAACTTCTATTCTAACTATCCCCTTATCTATGTTTCCCATAAGAGTAAGTACATAGAGAAAGGAAGAAAAAATAGTTCGTAAGAAGAAGAAATATTCAAGAAGAGTAAGTGTCGAGATGAAATCTCCAAGCACTAAACGTATTTATTCCAATCACCACCCATGTGCGATATTCTCTCTTTTCCTTTCTCTCTCGAAACAGACACAGCAGAACCAAATCCACCCACCCACCAATCAACAACACACACCCGGGGTATACCATTCAAAAACACCAACCCTCATGGAAAGAGATCGTGAAGGTAAAAAGTCTAAGATCCCAATCATTTCAGCCCAGACAAAAGAAAAGCAACCCAAACTCCATGCGAGCGGTTTTCTTCCGCTGCAATATGCTTTCCCAATCCCGACAAAAAAGCAATTCATTCATCCGCCTGAAGGAGATGTCCAGAGCATGCCAGCTCAGAACGCCGTAACAAAGAAAAGAGAGAATATATATTATGTAGATAGATATAAATCAGATCTGTTTTATAAAAAAGAACGAAAGAGAAAAAAAAGGAATTGTTTCCGCCGGTCTTTTGTTTCGTATATCCAGTGCGCCTTGCTTTGTATGTATCGAAAAGAATTTGTACAATATGGTAGTATAACGACATGAGTTTTTTGACTGAAAAATGCAAAGGCTTTTTGTGTACTTTTGTTGACCATGATGGAAAGTTTGTTGTTCATAGCCTCGGCCATATAGGTTGAAGCGGATGACTTAAAAAGGTCCAGCAGGGAGACAACCATTGGAGCGAGGAAGGATCCTTCAAGGTCTGTCTAACGAATAATCGAACCAGTGTACTGTGTTTACCACTGGCGTCCCGTAGAATCCTGGAGTCAAACGGAAAGGACAAGCTAAAGTGTTAAGACCACTGGCGAGTTCAGATCCGCTCATTCTGGAAACAGGGTAATCCTCTCATGCATGTTGGTAATGAGGAGAGAAGAAAGTAGGATGGTTGGGGTAGAAAATGGCAGGCTGCACGTGAGATGCGGTATGAAACTGGTCATACTGCTGCTCATATGCCCAATTTTGGTAGCATGGCTTGACAAAGTTGTTCCCATGGATTTCCTGCGGAGGTAATGCGTATTGTTGGGTAGTATCCAATTGTCGTCGCGAAGGGACGGCCTGTCGTGTTGTAGATGAAACGTCGTTCTCTGATGAATCTCGAGATTCAAGGTCCATTTCCGAGATGTCCGAAGCTGGGCCATCGCAAGTGGAAAAGTCCGAGTCCTCAGAGGAAGATGAGCCAGAAGAGAGCATGGAGCCCTCATCAGAGTCATAAGAAAGATTCGATGAACCAGATGAGACATTCGAAGATACGGTGGACGCATCAAAGTAGGCCGACTGTGGTGACTGAGGTGGTGTCGCCATTGAGAACTGTGGTTGAGGAGGTGGTGGGGCGGAGAAGCTTGGGCAATGGAAGATGAGGTTCTTGAGTTCGCTGACGGTAATCCTTTTCTCGGGGTTACTTTCAAAAATCATACCAAGAAGGTTGTTCAACTCGTTCGACACTGGCAAAATGGTCTTCAAAAAGTTTGGGTCCTTTTTGAAAGCTCGGTATGTGGAGTCCTCTTCCGAAGCCTGCTTCCATGGGTTACGGCCACACGTTAGGTTGACCAGGATGACTCCAAGGGACCAGACGTCGTTTGGTGCACATCGATATGATGGTTTTCTTGAGGATTGTTCCAGGCATTCTGAGGAAAAGAGGGCATGTTAGAAGGGCTGAGAGGATAGGGTTTGCGGGAAGGCCTACCTGGGCTCATATAGAAAGTCGATCCGCAACCGTGGTCCTCGGAGCGAGCATCGGTAGTGGCCAAACCAAAATCGGCCAAAAGGACATTGCTTCCGGAGTGAGATACCAAAATATTTTCAGGCTTCAAGTCCCTGTGATAGATTCCCAACCGGTGGCAATGCTCAACAGCGTCGAGGATCTGCAGGAAAACCCTTTGGACAAGAGCATCATTACTCACGTATGTTCCTCTCTCGGTGATGTTTGAGAAGAGGTCTCCTTCTGGACAGAATTCTAAAATAACGTAGGTACAATCTGGATCATCCACAATTTTCAACATAGAAACTATGTTGGGATGTGCTGATGCGGCATAGTGGAGTTGAATTTCCCTGGATTGAAACTCTCGCTGTCTTCTATCCAAAGGCTCTCCATTTGGGTTGGTTTTGCTCAAGGCCTTGACTGCATACCAGGAATGGGAACTGTGGTCGAATGCCGAGTAGACGACACCATAAGCACCAGTACCTAATATACTATGCAACTCCAGTGATTTTCCGAGAAATCTACCTATTCTTGATTCAGGAGTAGGGGGAAGCTTGAATTGAGGAGCGGATGCTGGTTGTGCGTGTCGAGCCTTGAGCCCTGGGGCCTGGGACTGTGGAGGGGTGGGAAGGGCCTTGAAGTATGGACGAGCAAATGGACCTTGGAATTGTGACGATGCTGATCCCGGGGGAGGAGATGCTGGAGGTGATAACGGGGTTGTGGTCGCACTGAACATGGCAAAAAATGGAATCCAAAAATTAGAAATCTCGTGGATGAGATGTGATGGCTAGAAGGTCCTCAAGATCAAAAGTCAAACAGAAAGAAACGGCCAATCAAGTTATATCCTCTGGACAATGGAAACGGAGTATTGCTAGTTATGGGAGCTGAGGAGGTCGCCGTTCCGTCTGGAAAGAATGATATCGAAGAGAAAAGTCCCGGATGTTTGGCGATGGTAGAAGAAGAGGGACGAGGTCGATATGGGAACGAGGTAGATAGGGTGTAGGATAGGGTGAGGTGAGGTGAGGTGGTCGTGGGAGGAGGAGAGTTGTGAGAGTTGTGAGAGTAGAGAGTTGCGATGGTAGCAGGGAGCTGTGGTTGTGGTTGGAGGGGAAGTGAGGGCGTATTATCATTTGCAAAGCCTTGGCAGCCGTTCAACCTCGCATGGGGGTCGCACTGGGGGGAGAGAGAGGGGGCAAGGATATGGGACAGCTGCAACATCATTAGAGTTGGGCTTGGGCGAGAAAGAGAGCAGAGGCCAGAGGCCAGAGGCCAGAGGGGGGGGCTGCTGGGCCAATAGCGTGGTCGCCGGGCGCATATTGACGACCAGGGCGTGCCAGTGGCCCAGNCGAGAAAGAGAGCAGAGGCCAGAGGCCAGAGGCCAGAGGGGGGGGCTGCTGGGCCAATAGCGTGGTCGCCGGGCGCATATTGACGACCAGGGCGTGCCAGTGGCCCAGCCAGGACCGCCTCTCTTATTGTGACGAGGATCCACACCCTTCCACTTTGCCTTTGACGACGTCGTCAAGGGGGGCAGCCGGTGCCTACGCCTAGGCCAGGGAGCTACCGCTACTCACAAGTCACTAGTCGCTAATTGCCAGGCGCTAGTCATCATTCGCTAGTCACTCGTCACTAGCCCGCCCGCCCAGTAAATGCGCTGCACGCTTAGGTGGCCAAGCAAAAGGGCGAGAGTGCCAATTGGAATTGCACATCACTCAACATACCCACCCACACATCACTACTTCTGAATTACATTACAGTGCTAGCGAGCGACGGCCTATAGCAGGCTAGCGAAGCACGAGCCCTCATGAGATTCCTCTCGCCTCCCTGTCCTGGAGGGAGTGAGTACACTAAGAAGCAGCAGTGGAAGCGAGCAGACCAGTAGAGTCCTCCATAGCACCGGCGTCATCCATGACATGAGTGAGCCAGTCGTGATCTAGTGAGCCAGTGAGCGAGCGATCATTGATCAATGTTATTGTGTCTATCCCTGGACCGCTTCTACTCAATACTGTAATTTACCTAAATTTACCTACAGTATTCAGTGCCGTGGGCCCAGCCCAGCCTCGTAATGGTCCTACGCAGGAGCTAACCGCACCCGGCAGTACTTTTGCCCTCTCTCTGCCTGTCGCTGTCGCTTGCATGTTGCCTACTTCCTCGCAACCCTGTCTTTGCTTTGCCATGAATGTACGAAGTAGAGAAAGATCTCCACCCGGTGACACGTACCTACCGAATCATCATCACTGCGGGAAAACATTGCAAAAATAGGTGCGGGTGCTAGTAGCGTCCGTAGCGTAATCCTCTGTACGGGAGTGTCCTCGTAGCACCTTGCAAAGTGTTTCCAACATGGTGTTCAACCAAGGGCGGAGGCGGTGCTCCCCTGCCTTTGTCCATTGTGGAAGTTTGAAGATGTCGGATTATCCCTTGAGAGTTCAGTCCTCCTTCTGTGAGTGTCATCATCCCCAAATGATCCCCAAATCCAGGGATGGCACACCCTCCCCCAGGCGTGGTGTTGATTCGCAGTGGCCAACACTGGTGACTGGTCACTGGTGGGTGGGCATGCCGATACGCCCGTGTAAGTGTGGGTAGATACTATCGTAGCCGTGGCAAAGTGTTGACCAATGGTGCTTCTGTGTGGCGCTCGGTGGAATCCTGGGCACTGCGGTTGTTGTTTTTTTCTTTTTGCACTTCCACTTGGCACCTACGCATGCAAGGCACTCGAGCCACTCCACGCCCGGTGCTGCTTTCTGACAGGCTGCGCTGCCTCGAGGCTGCTCCGAGGTCCCTTGGTCCCTACCAAGCTACCGTACCGCCCCTCTCCAGCAGGTCCAGTGATTACGGAGCTCACTACTAATGATCGCATGAATGAACTTCCCAATTAGAAACCACGCACCCGAGACCTGAGACCCGCGCCCAGTCATAAGACGCCCAGGTGACGCTGCGCTGCGCTGCTCATGTCTCTGACTTTTCATCAACACAAACGTGGTTCCCAGCGATCTGTGCGAGATCATAATGAGCGATTCACTGATTGGGCGAGGACCCCATCTCCCATCTCCCTTGGACCCTTTCGTGGCAGTCTGGCAGATCATTTCTTCCAAGCTTCCACTTCCCACTTCCTTCGCCCTTCGAAAATCTCTCCCGCACTCCTGCCGATCACGCCCTTTGGGGGGGAAGAGACTCAAGGGAGACCCCCGTGGGCCATGGGCATGGTAACGGGGAGTCTGGTCTGGCTCTGGGAGTTTGGGAGTTGGGACCACTACGACTGGTCTACTACTCGAGTACTACTGCATCATGATGTGTCCTTGGTGTCATTTGTCTCGAAGAAAATACCCGTAGAGGCACTCTGTAAAGTGTCGGATCTCCATCAGAGGCAACAACCGCCAAACATGTCTGCTGCTGACAATCTCCGAACCCATCCTGAAAACACAGGCAAGCAACAAGCGAACCTATCGACGGCCTGTACTCCTACTCTGGTACTCCAAGCTGTCCAATTTACCGTACCCTACTCCGTACCCTACCTCCGCGGGTGTAAAGATTCCTCTGTGGTGCCAGCCTCCCTGTTCATTGCTGTCGTTCGTACTTCTACTTCTACTCCGTATACCCTCAGAGTACGGAGTAGAGTACAACTCTGTGTATCGTGGCGTGGACCGAGTTTCCCTTGTACCGTAGCATGGGGTAACAAATCGAGATGGTTGCTGTTGATGGTTAAGTCGATGCTGCGCCCGAGCGTTGCTGACAGCCCTGTGAAAGCCAAATTCGTGTCATTTTTCGAATTTCGACGGTATCAGTATCTTTCCCACTCATCGCCAATCAGCGCTTCTAGCCGTCTAGAGTGAGGCTGCTGGTCCATTTCGAGGCTGCCGAGTTTGGTCTGATTCGTCAAAAGCAACGCCATGGTTGTATGGAAGGTCCAAGTGGCGCTGCAAGAAAACACAGGGATGTGCTAGAGGAGGATGCCCGCCCTGTAAGCATGGCTCATCACGAATTAGAATCTGCTTCAAGCTCGGCAAGTAAATTAACTCAAATATCAGAAAAGATATCACACATGGATTAAATAGTAGGTGGACCAATCAGCTTCGAATCTCGCTTCTGAATTTCGTCAATAGAACCATACCATAGCCTCTCTGCGGCATGGGCCTACCAATCATGTTGATGTTTTCGTACCAGTTCGCATGAGTTTGGCCTCTGTCATCGCTAGAAACTCTAAACATGACTGCGTGCCAGCTGAAAGAAAGTTATGGATACGTCCGTACATTTCTTGAAAACAACCGAGAATATATTGGTGTGCTCTAACGGTACGGAGTATAGGGCTTCGAAATAGAAACATAAAAATTTCGGAAATGATCTGAGCCGCTTTCAAGGTAAAGCCGTTCAAAGCCAACCGCCGATATCAAGGCATCCAGTAGCCAATCATTGTTGACCTGGAGAAAATGTAGGAGGCTGTCAACATGAGCAAAAAGTTGCAAAACAGATACAGTAGCAACCAAGTCACCACCCCTGAAACTCACCGCTAGTCACCACTTGAACTTGACGGAGCTACGAAGTACGCTCCGTCAGCATGGGAAACAGAAGGCAGGCAGACTATTCTAGGGAACGAAAATACCTACTGTATTTTTCCGCCTTTGACATTTTGAGTGCGTAAATCCAATCTCAAACCACAATAGCAGGGGCCACGGAGGATTTGTGTTGCGTGGAACAGTAAACAGTGGAAACAGTGGGTCGTAGAAGTTAACGAAATTGAGAGCATCGCAACGCATCGAACATGGATATGCCGGCGGTACGCTTGTACGACGACGAAGTGGTCTGTAGAGGCATAAGGCCGGATTCGTTTGGTTGATGGATTAGGCCGTGGGTGGATGGGGAGAAGCTGTTGTGTTGCAGTATTGGATTCGGATAGACCACAACATAATGCAAGTGTCCGAAACGATGGATCATGGTACCTCCGAAGGATGATGGAGTCGATCCTGTGCGTGAGATTCGCTCGGTAGACGGGGAGGTGGGCTGCGATGGCACGCTTGGGGGAGGTGAGCGTTGGATGGCGGGGGATGACATGACATACATCGCATGCTATGAGCTATGGTGGTGTTATTTTGTTGGATCCTGGTGGAGATGTCACTTCTTGGTGTTGTGAGACTTTGACAGGTGTCGTGGGGGGGGGAAGGGGATCACATACACTAGCATCCTCATTGGTTGGCTCTCTTTTTACAAAGCCCAGAGCTATCTAACATAGACTTTTGTCTAACCAACATAGAAGTGACCGGGTCCCCTAGCTACTTTACGGTGTGTTCCTAGGTATCCCTAATAGCTCATAACCATACTAGTATATTATCGTAACTACTAATCTAATAATATACGTAATCTTAAAAATAATACTAATCGTAACTTTAATCTACTACCTACTATACTAAACAACTACGATTACTACTACTTTACCCTATACTACTATTTAAAGCTATTTCTATCTACTTAGTTATATACCACATCGTTATACTTATATAGTTATATATTCTATCTACGAATAACTTACCCTTACTATGACTATTATATTATAATTATACCTTAATAAGTATAATAAAGCTCTAGTACTTTCTACTGCTCTAGGCCCTCTAATACTAGGTTCCTTTACTACTATTAACTAGATATATAATTTCCTTAAAGATTATAATATCTAATATAGCTAGACTTATATTAAATAATAGTCTTATTCTAACCTAGCTACTTATATTAAATATAACCTTCTAGGCCTAAACTAGGTTTAATTTACCTATAGTAAGGCTTAGAATCTAGAAGACTTTACTACTATAGAGTCAATAGTATACCTTATAAAACGCTATAACTACTAGGGAACTAAAAGAACTAAGTATTCTTTTACTATTAAATTAACCTCGAGTTTATTTAGATATACCTTTAAGTAATAATCCGAAGCTAAGTTATTCTATAACTACTATAGCTATATAGCTTCTATAACTAATCCTGTAAATCGCTATATATATATGGAACCTAAAATTAAGAAGGAGATTCTTTGATAGTATAAAAGTAGTATTTTAGTTACGAATTTTATTACGAGTTTGAAGGCAAGAAAAGTTAGCGAATTTAACCTTGATATTTAAAAATATCATAAATATTACTTAGGTAGCTTATCGGAATAGGATTAGAAATAAATCTAAAATTTAGTACTTACTTAAAGTTAGTTCCTACCCCCCCCTTATTTATATATTTCCTAATTAGGTAATAAAAATAAGATTCTAGAAAAAGAAGAATTCTCTTCTACCTTTAAAACATAACTAAAATCCTTTCTAAATAGTAAACTAAATCTAAACGTAGACCGACTTTAATAACTCTTTTTTCTATACTCTAAATCTATTAAATTATAAAAGAAGAATTCTTATATTTTACTTCTCGATCCTATAAATAGAACGAATTAGTTTAATATACTACTACTAAGAATATATAGGCTAACTAGTAATAATAAGGTAATATAGATTAGTCTTGTTTTTATATTAGAAGAGATAGAGTTAGATTATAATTAGGTAATTAGTTATTTTTATTAGGTTATAAATAAGAAGAATATCTAGAACCTTATAGTACTTATTATAAATAAAGAAACGGTATTAATTAATACTTTAGAGTTACGATTCCTTTAATCTAGTTATATTCTTTATAAGTAGTATATAAATATAAACGTAGTAACTAATTATAAGAAGTTCTTTCCTGGTATTATTAAACTTCTAAATAGTAAGTATAAAAGATACCTAAAGTTTAGGAGTTTTCTATTTAACCAGAACTAAATTTTAGTTTATTCTACTAAAGAGAAGTATAAATATACCCTATTATAATTTAAGCTAACCTATAATACTCGAGCTATAGCTTATTATAAGTTTATCTAGTTAACCTAGAAAGAGAAACTCGTATAGTATTAGATTAATAAAATACACTACTTTAGCTATCTAGTTACGTTCTTAATTAAAGAATACTATTTTATCTTAAAGTAATATCTAAAGAATACTATTTTATTTTAAAGTAATATCTAAAGAATTCTATATATAGTTTAGAAAGAGCGTTCTAAAAGTTCTAGTTATTTTAGAAGATATAGTACTTAAATATTCTTTCGATTATAGTATAGTAAGTTAATAGTACTTGTTTT